TTTCTGAACCTCCTCCCTTATCTACAGTATTTATGTGAACCCAATTTTGTGGCACAAAGTCTGTTTAAGAGGCAGACATTGCTGGAATTTGCAGTATTAGGACTTGCTCTTGAGTTCGAGGCTTATCAGTTATTTTACAGTTACTGCTTTATTGCCATGGCTTACAGGCCTCCATTGAGAACTAGCTCTGTTTTAGACCAAATGTAGTTTCCAGAGTACCTGGTGGGTGACTACATGAAGGACTCAACTTGAAAGAGACCACTAGAATCCAGAAATCAGCACCCCCCCCTGCAATAATCAGTTTAACAGATTTTATATTTGATCTACAGCGGTACCTCAGGTTACATACACTTCAGGTTACATACGCTTCAGGTTACAGACTCCGCTAACCCAGAAATAGTGCTTCAGGTTAAGAACTTTGCTTCAGGATGAGAACAGAAATTGTGCTCCAGCAGGGGCGGCAGCAGCAGGAGGCCCCATTAGCTAAAGTGGTGCTTCAGGTTAAGAACAGTTTCAGGTTAAGTATGGACCTCCGGAACGAATTAAGTACTCAACCCGAGGTACCACTGTACATAGAAAACATAGATGTAATGGAAATTGTTTTAATGGTGTCCTGTGTGGTTCCTTGTTGGTTTTCTAATTTGCAGAGACTGCAAGCTAGGAAATTACAACACACTATTTAGACTTCACAGAGTTGGCTGGTATCACTGATTATGTTAAAGTGTCTTCATTTATAATTTCTAATATTTTCTGACTACTTATATTATTGCTCTTATTGTTACTTAATATGCTTCATATAGTCCTCTAATTTATGCAGCAGTAATGAAATGCATTACATATAAAACATGTCTTACAATCTTATGATGTGTATATATTGTTGACCAGCATTTAGATTATATTTCACATCAAAATTTTGAAAATAGTTTTTAATATAGAAAACTAGTATGAATAATTACCAATTGTTATGTATGCTAAATCCGTTCATATTTTAAAATGTGAACATCTGTTGAAAAATTGAGGGAAATGCTGTCCTAGTTTTCCCCCACCCCAATTTTAAGTTTTTAAATAAATCTTAAGTATAAAGGACTTGACCTTGTGATATACTTGGGCTGTGTTCATGAGATTAGTCAGCATTAGACACCTAGAATACTTTTAGATGCTCCCTATCAGAACTTTTGATGAAATGAATGAATTTGTTTTATTTATTGATAAACAACAAATTGCAGTGTGATAACTGAGTGAGGGTTTTTGTTTTGTTTTTTTGCAGCAAAAACAAGTTATTGTGATATTATAAAGACTAAAATAGATTTATTATGGGTGTAATTCTCATGACCATTTGGCCACATTGCTACTTTTTATTTTATTTTGTACTACCACACATGTGTGAAACTAAGGAGTTAATGCTTCATGCATCAGAAGTGAGGCTAGTTCTCTAAAGCTCATGCCCCAATTTTTTAAAATTATTTTTTAACGTGCCACAGCGCTCTTTTGGTTCTCTTTGATAAACTAACATTTATATATACCAAGGCTCCATTTGAGAGAGCTTTTACACACTTGTAGCGGGAATATTATAGTAACTTCTAGCTTAGAATTCCCTGTCTGTGAAAATACTGATGTAGAAATTGAAAATTAGATTGCATCAAAACTTTTTGCATAGTAGTTTAATAGATTTAATTAAATTGAAATATAATTTATCATACGAATATATTTTAGGCACTTCTTGATTTAATCTGAATGCCTTGATGCTTACATTTCAAGAGGTTAAAATTTATTGTATTTGTCCTGTCTTTTAAAGTTTTTAATTTTATTTTAAATCAGTCAGGCTGAGAAAAATCTCTTTATCATAGGCTGTATGCCTACAAATGCAGTGAACCCCTGAAACTACAACCTGGCTTGAAGGGATGCTCTGTTACCTGGTATGTTGCATGGTTGCGGTAACTGTTCCATGCTTACTGCTCCTTGCATCGTCCTTATGGTCAAAGTAGATTTTTTTTTCAGTGTTAGCACAGCTTGTGCATCTCCCCACCAGGGGACATTAAACAGTGAGGTGAAACTGGAAACATGAGGCATAAGTCAGGATAAATTGAAACTAACTCATTTGAGTACATTAATATCAGTTATGACTGCTGACATCAAAATATGCCAAACGAATGTTTCATTATTTAGAAAATTCGTGTCTTCAGGTCTGCCTCATACTGGTACCCGTGGTTCTAAATAGATAGTGCTAGTTTTCCAGGTCATGAATGCTTTGAATGGAATTAATATTTAATCTCCATTAGTCTGGCATTAAGTAAAGTAGGCCTTTAAATTGGTGATTCTTGCGGAAAATGTTGAGTTCATTCTTGTTCAGCAGGGTATAATGCTGATGTTGCCACTAAAGCAAAAAGCTTCTACATGAAATCACTTCTACATTATTTTTAAAAGGCAACTAGAGTAAGAAAGTGTTATGAATTTTTAATACATTGTGGTATAAAATCTATTTATTTTCATCTAAAGCTGTTGGGTGACATACTGCAAATAGGTTGCTAAGCTCACTTCATATACTTCATTCTTTTTGCATGTTTTATTCACTTTTAAGGCTGTATAGAGAAGTGGGGAAGGGAAAGGATGTCATTCTGTGAACAAAAAATATATATCAAAGATTGGGACTGCTTCTGGCCTAGGTTGATCATAAACACAACACTTAATTTATATACAGAACTGTATTCTTCAGTTTATTAATGAATGTATATGTATTTCTGGTGAAGCACCTTGCTCTCTACACCACTGTCAGGGGCTTAACCCTCTTTCCTCATGGAATTTGAACCTCTAAAGCAGGGGCAGCAAACCTGTTGTCCTCTAGATTATGCTGAAGTACAGCTTCCATCATCCCTGCCCTCTGGTAATGCTGGCTTTGGTTGATGGGAGTTGGAGTGAAATAATGCACAGGTTTCCCACCCCTCCTCTAAAAGGTAGTAGAAAATATGCTGGTAGTTAGGTTAGAGAGAGGGTTGTATAAGAGAAGAAGGTGTAAAAAAGCAGTATGGTGAAAGGAAAGTGAACATATGTTGCTGGTTTGTGTTACTACAGTGGAACCTCGGATGTTGAATGTCTCTGTTGACGCAGGTTTTGGCTTTTAAATGCCGAAAACCCAGAAGTAACTGCTTCGGTTTTCGAACGATTTTCGGAAGCCGAATGTGCCTCACGGCTTCCTTTTTCAGTTTCCCTATTGTATTGATGCTTCCACTTTCAGCTTTCAAATGTTTAGGAAGCCAAACTGTCTTCTGGAATGGATTACATTCAAAAACCAAGGTTCCATTTTATATACCATACCTTTGACAGAGACAGAAAGTAAGTGCTCATTAGTTGTTTTATAAGTGTTGCTAACTATATCTCATTCTTTCTGCCCTTGTGAAATGATCACATCAACCCATTTGTGGTGGTTTGCAGAAGAAAGTAGAAAGGATGTAACTCCTGCAGTAGTGAGTTTCCAGGCGAAAGGTAGTAAGAGCACTTCTGTGCCTTTACTGGGAAGTAGTTTTAGTAATTTCCATACAACACCTCCTAAGCTGAAAAGAACTTTGAATCCTCTCCAAGTGTAATGATTCCTTCCTTTCATTGCCACCAACTGATTAGTCAATTGGTGTTCTGTTGTTGCCAAGCCAGGAAGAAGGCACTTTACCATTTCCTTTTCTTCAGGCACAAGGCCTGCTTGTGGCAGTCGCCTGTGCTGTTTGGTACAGGGAGGAGGGTTTCTATCTTGTGGTAGCCTTCCACTTTGAGAAGAGTATACTTTATCTAAAGGAGGATAAACTGGGGAGGGTGGGCAGAGAGAAGTACTAATGTGCTTAATTAATTTGGTTAAGATAATATTGCCAATTAGCATAAGGAGACTATCCAATAGTGTGTGATATGTCTTCAGTTAATTGGAGCTATCCAGTCACACTTTTTGCTTCTTAGTTACAGCAGAAGTCTGAAGCTTTTTTTAATATCTCTCTCTCTCTCTCTCTCTCTCTCTCTCTCTCTCTCTCTCGTTCCTTCTGTTTTAAAACTTGGCTTAATATACTCTTGCTTTGACCTCTAGCAATACTTACTGTCAACATAAAAACATAAAGAGCTAAGGAAGAAAGAAAGGCAATGTTTGTTTGCAGTTTTACAACCTAATGGAAAAACAGCTTGCTATGGAATACAATATACCTGTTTAATGGTGGTGTTCAGATTTGTTGAATAACGGGCTGCATTTTCTGCAATATTATCAAATAAAACTTTGCCAAATGATTCTGTTATCTAGTCCTTATGATAATTTACCTACCTCTCAATTTATGCCCTTACACTTTGATAAGTGAAAGATTTACGAGTTCTCTACAGTTCACTGACTATATAATTAAATTGTAGGCATACAGGTCACTTGCAATTTGCATCTGGTTCGCCAGAAGTGGCTTAATTATGCTGGCCACATGACCCAAAAGCTGTCTGCGGACAAACGCCGGCTCCCTCGGCCTATAGAGCGAGATGAGCACGCAACCCCAGAGTCGTCCACGACTGGACCTAACGGTCAGATGTACCTTTACATTGTGGGGGTGGTGTGTATTCACAAAACCGCATATAGTTGAGCCCCCCCTCCCAAACAAGAGGGAACAAGCTCAAGTTCTTTATTTAGTAGATGTATACCTTGTCCACCAGATTTGAGCCCCGCTGAAAGTCTAACAATAACATGCAGCACCGCATAAAATAACATGGTTTGCTCTGTTTCATAATTGGATTTCATCTGTCACTTGCCTGCAGCCATTCCTTAAGGCTGCAGCAGAGAAGACAAGACAAAGGATACAGGGTGCCTCCACTTGTGCAGCTGAGGCAGCAACTTTTGGTGTTTCCTTTCCTTGAACTTTTGCACCCCAGCTGGTGATGAGAAGAACTTGTAACTTGTCCTAAGGTTATATATGTAACTTCTGATAATTTTCCTTAAAAGGTGCAGTTGCAACTTAAGAGTTCCTGAAGATTTTTTTTTCTTCTTCTTTTAGTTGTGTCAGAGTAGAAGAGCACCATGCTGTTGACATTGATCTGTACCACTGTCCCAATTGTGCAGTTCTTCATGGACCCTCCTTGAGTAAGTAATGATTTAAGCAGTGTTGCATGTTGTTGTTGTTGTTGTTTTAAAAAATAATAATTTAAACCTCACCTTTCAGTTCTTAAAAAGGCCCTTTTGGGGGCTTGCATGTATGAAAAGCACAGATATAAAAGCAAAGCCATTAATTACACATGGCAGAAAGAAGCTTAGAATAGGCCAAAAGCCGTAAGAGGAGGCCAACTGAGGAGAGTGTTCCCTAAGGAGGAAGTTCCACATCTTTAGGTGCCATGGCCAAAAAGATTATTCCCCATGTCCCATGTAACCGTACTTCTGAAGTTCAACAGGGCATGGAACTATGTGTAAGATAACATGTGCAGTTTTGTACTGTTTTATTGTTGTTAGCCGCCCTGAGCCCGGCTTCGGCTGGGGAGGGCGGGATATAAATAAAATTTATTATTAATTATTATTATTATTATTATTATTATTATTATTATTATTATTATTATGTGGGTGGAGATGGTACTGCAGAAATCCTGGTGGCAAATCATTTAGGTCTTTTATATATAACTACTGTATATAAGCAAACCAAAAGCCAGCGCAGATTAAACAAAACTGGAGTAATATCATCGTACCTTGGATCTCAAATGCCTTGCAACTCGAACATTTTGGCTCCCAAACACAGCAAACCCGGAAGTGAGTGTTCCGGTTTGCGAACATTCTTTGGAACTCAAACGTCTGACATTGCTTTCGCGGCTTCCAATTGAGTGCAGGAAGCTCCTGCAGCCAATCGGAAGCTGCGCCTTGGTTGTCAAACATTTTTGGAAGTTGAATGGACTTCCAGAACGGATTCTATTTGACAACCAAGGTACAACTGTATGCTAAAAAAATTAAAATAATTTTCAGCCATTCTGATTGCATTTTGTATTGGGAGCAATATCAGTGCTTTTCAAGGGTATTGTAGAATGCACTGCAGTCCAGATATAACGACAGGAGGTGTGACAGTGGCCATATTTGTTTTATTGAGAAAAGACTGCTGGTATAGCAACCTGACCTGTGCAAATAAACTGCATTACATGGGTTAGCCATGGTGCAGCATTCCATACGCACCAGTATTCTTACACCTTTTAGCTCCAAACTGTGGTTTGCAACTATGATTAAGAATTTTGCAAACTATTATTTGAGTTACCTGCAGTTTGTGAAAGTTGACAAAATGCTGCATCATGGTCAGCTCTGAACATGAAAGGGAAGTGGAGGAGTATGTGAACATGTGGGGTCCTCCTGATCTCCTGTGTTGGCAAAGCTGGTTTCTTGACTTGGAAACATGCATCATAGATCATAGAATCATGGAGTTGGAAGGGACCTCTTGGGTTCAACCCCCTGAAATGCAGGATTTTTTTGCCCAAGGGGGGGCTCGAACCCACAACACTGAGACGAAGTCTTGTGCTCTACCAACTCAACATGTGTTTCTATAGAAACAGAAGAAGCATCTTTTTAGTCTGATGTTCACAGATTACATATAATACATTCTTATTCTAAACAAATAATGAGTTTACTGTCCCCAGCAATAGCTCACACAGTGAAACCCTTTCATCATCTGGTTCTAGAACACCAAGTGAACTCTTAAAATGTGCAATACTAGATCGTGTTTTCTTTACTGTCTGTTCAGAACGAGCTATAGCTCTAAATGGTGAGCTTTCATTCAGGAGAGTTTTACTTACTAGATCTTAGCAATGCTATCCATTTCAGAATTTCCCAAAGGTTTGGTGGTTTTTTGCTTTTGTTCTGTAAAAAGTGTCTGATCAGTAGCCCTCAGAATACCATCATTTCCAGTATGAAGTTAACTATGCTATTCCTTGCTGAATCTTGATTGGAGTATCTGTTAAGCTCCCGGCCTCTTGGCCTGTTGTTCCAAATCTTCCTGGTGAGCTTGGTGTCCCTTTCAAGGCCCTGAAATAGGCTCCAGAATGCTAGAGCCATTTAGCAGATGGCTGTTAAGATTTGGTGCTCTCTGGCATGCACATACAGGACCTGTTGTGGTTGGTAGGAAACAGTCACACCCAACAAAGAACAGAGGATTCCTTTACCATGCAAGAAGGCCAAGCAGACCAATCAGCAGATCACTGGACTTTCTATGACACTGTGTTAGAGGGTGATTGCCAGGCCAATCTGATTGTACTTGACGAGGGTACAGGGTGAAACTCTCTGTTCAGGACTGAAAGTCCTGGCCTGCTTTGTGATTGTATTGTGACAAGAAATAGATCCATCCTGAATAAATAGATCATCCTGATTTCACGTATCTTGATCTGCCCAAATAGCTGTAGTTGTGTAGTATCCTAAGAATCTCAATTTAGTTTTTGTCACTAATGGTAAAGCAAAAGAATCTGTTAGCTGCTTTCAAATATCATTGAGGAACTGCATTTGGAAAGCTGCAGGGAAGTTTCTAAGACAGGCAGATGTGTTTAAGTTACCTTCTGGCCTTCCTTCTCAATCTGGGAAAGTTGAGGAGTCGGGTGGGTGTGCCTAGGACCCCCTCTCCAGTTTAAGCCTCAGATAATTCCCTTTGAGAGGTTAACAGGTGGAAGATGAAGCTTAGGAACAAACTGAAATTAATGCTTCATCGACTTTTATCTATGATTTATTCCTGAATATTATTTGAACCCCCATTAAACATTAATCAATGTTCAACATTGCTTCTCAGGGTAGGTTACAATGTTTATCTGTTTGAAAATGTGTTTTCTTAAGTGTCCTTTAGAAGGTGCAGTATAAAATTCATAGCTCGGGCTAATAAATAATTTTAGGATAATTGCTTATATTATACCACCTTGAACTTACGGATAAATGAGATGTTTGCCTTTCTGAAAGTTATTGCAAAGGTACACTGGACTCTAATAGATTTCTTGTTTTAATCTTTTCATATGTGTGATACTGTTGAATTGCGGTTTTGTTTTTATTTCTCTTATTGAAGCTAGCCTAATATTTGTTAGAATAAGTATTGAAAACTTTGACTACAGTAATCTTTACCTTTTAAAAAAATGCAATTTATAGCTACTGGCAAGTAATACTAGCCTGTTAATCCACATACCAATTTGTTCTATAGAGAAGTTCAGTTACATCAGAGGCTTTGTCTTGTGTCTTTTGTAGTGCAGCTGCCCACCTTAATAACTGTCAGATAACATTGGCTGCTTTCCAAAGTGGTCACTGAGCTTGAAGAAACAGGTGTGTACACATGGAAAGAATGATATGCATCATTCCGCACAGAAATATGCACACCCAAGGCACACACGAAACGACTGCCACATGGAAGTCTCCTTTAAGTGGTTGCCTATGGCAGCTGCCTTGCTACAGCAAGCTGTTTTCGTGTACAATCGAAGCTACTACAAAGCTCTTAATATTTGCTATACAGAAAATGTACCAAGTCTTTGTGATGAGCTGCCACATAAAATGGTTTGGAGTGTGAAGCCAGTTTTTGTTTTTGTTTTTTAAAAAGAGCCATTGAAAGTGGTTCCTGTGTATCGGCCATCCTGTGTGCACTGAACCTTCTCTAGACTGTGATCCAGGCAAAGCATAAACTTTGTTGCCAGGCCCATATGACTTTGCATCCCTTTTTATCTTGAAGTAGGACACAAGCTGTTTGATTACTGTGCAGTTTGGCTTGTGGCGTACACTTCAGTTTCTGCGTGACATGTTTTCCAACTTAAGTTTCAGATTCCATACTACTTCTGAGTAGTAAACTGCAACTTGCAGTTGTGTTGAGAGAGATGGATGACAGTCAAGCATATATTGTAGTAATGCCCTTCTGCTCCTTTGATTAGTTGGAGTAATACAATCCATTGGTTTTGAAACAATGAAAGCTTAATGAGTTCAGAATGCCTAGATGAATTTACTAATACTCTGTCAGCAGCTCAATGTGGAGAATTAAATTTATTTATTTTAAAAAACCCATAAAGAACAGTAGCTTCAGTGGACACAAGATTTCATAAATAACAATTAGTAGTAAACTCTTTCAGAAGTTCAAAATAATACATGCTTTGAAGCATGTTCATCTAGGCATGGTTGGAACACCCCCACCCCAATACCTTTCAGACCTTCCTATGCAACATGGAAAGGTTGGGCTGGAGTGGTGTGCATGTAGCATGCTTCACACATTATTTTTGAATGCTTGAAGTGTGCTGTCATGGTTGACAGTTGGAAGGTGAAAGATAGGAATAAGATACTAGGTGGAATTCAGTGTTGCACTTTTCCAATCGTTCCACCTGTGCATGCATTTCAACTTACCAAATAGAACAACCCTCTTCTCCTCCCACAATGTGCTATTCTGAGGGTTCTTCTGACCTTCCACTTGAACCAATTTTGGGGGGTGCAGGTGGAAGAGGAGGGAAAGCTCTCGTATGCAAGTGGAAGCCCTTGCCTAGGTCTTCCACTGACAGAGCTGGTTTGATGAATTCTGTCCCCTGAATGTAATGCTTGAATTAAGAATGACCAGGGAAATGATATAAATTCTAAGTTTAGGGATTTTAATCAACATCTTTCTTTTATGGATATATCCACCATCTAAAATAATTAAATCAGTATACCTTTTTAGTGTGAGAGAGAATTTAAATAAGAAGCTTGCCCCAAATGGAAACTTGTGAACCCCCTATAAACCATGCTGAGATCCTAGAGTAAGGAAGGGACTGCAAATTGTTATAAATGCTTGTAGAGCAGGAGTAGCCAATGTGGTACTCTCCAGATGTTGTTGGACTACAGCTCCCATCAGCTCCAGGAATGATGAGAGTTGTAGTGCAAGGGCTACTTTGGTTCTCCCTTTTGAGAGTACAGTATGGCCTGGTTCCAAGCATGTTTTTCTGAAATGGAGAACAAACCCTGGAGCTGAGCACCTCTCCTCTAGCACTGCTCCCTTCAGTACTTTGTTTCTTGTTTGTATTAAACCAGAGTTTCTCTTCTGTCTCAACTGTGGCTTGATGGCAGTTTACAAACCAGAAATATAACCCAGGAGTCATAAGCTAGAAATGATGCAGCAAGAGGGGGAGGGAATACTCTGCCCAATGTTTGTTCCTGTTACTATTAAACTATGGTTTATGAAGCCTGGAACTATTATCCAGCTGTAACTTTAAGAAAATGTTAAGGGAATTGTAATATTTGGCTCGTAATAGATTTTTCATGCAAATGAGTTCTATTGCTTCAGTTCTGAGTGTAAATGTAGTCTAGACTTTATATTAGTTCCTTTAATGATGCCATCACCCAGCTCATTTATAAATGGTCCCCCCCCCAATTCAGGGCAGAGGATGATTTATTCACTAATTAATAGCAGACAGCTTGTCAGAAACTGTCTGAGATCCAGTTTGGTGATGTGATACTTGGACTTGGAGACCTGGGGTCAAATCTTTGATTAGTTGTGAAGCTTCTCTAGGGTTAATCCACACTATTTAAAGCACATGGCTTCCCCTAAAGGATCTTGTGAACTGTACAGTGGTACCTCGCAAGACGAATGCCTCGCAAGACAAAAAACTCGCTAGACGAAAGGTTTTTCCATTTGTGAGTTGCCTCGCAAGACGAATTTCCCTATGGGCTTGCTTCGCAAGACGAAAACGTCTCGCGACTTTGTTTCCTTTGTCTAAATAATAATTCGCAAGACGAAAAATTCGCTAGACGGCAAAACTTGCGGAACGAATTAATTTCGTCTTGCGGGGCACCACTGTAGTTTGTTAAGAGTGCTGAGAACTGTAGCTTTTGGAGAAAGCAAGTAGCTCAGTTGTATGATGTGCATATGTGACCTTGGACCCATCCATGCATGTTTAAGCATATCTTTCCTTATGGGATTTTTAAAAGAGAAAACTGGATAGTTCTCTTAAATGTATTGAGGAAAGGGACAGGTACAAATGTGGTAGTTGCAATTAATTTTAGAAGCTAATGTTTTAATCCCTACTATCTAGTGAAGAAGAGAAGGAACTGGCACAGACATGACTATACAGAATTTGAAGATGGTTCCAAGCCAGTACAAGCTGGAACAAGAACATTTGTTAAACAGCTACGTGCTCGCTCCTTCCCAAGGTAAGATAAGTTGCATTAGAACATATATAAGAGCAGGTGCAGAAAGTCTTGTCATTTTTTCTAGCTCCTTCAAACAACAGTTTTGTCTTCAAGCCATAAACTTTTAACACACTAAAAATAATGGGCATCTGAATGTCTTTTTGGCTAAGACATCTAATGGTGATGGTGATATTAATTACTATTACTATTATTCATACAATTTGAAGTATTTATAATTATAATTAAAATTATTATTATTACATTTATTTATATCCTACCCTTTTCTCTGAAGTGGCCTCAGTGTTTATAACCTGCCCTTCATTGAATGCTTTCAATCCCAGAATGGGGAACAATCAAATAAAGTAATAAAAATATGCAAAGAAGTAGTATACAAGAATTACAAAATCCATAAAAACAGACTATTAAATAACAAATTAATAGCTCTAACATAATGCAAACAAAGCTAAACTACGAGAGCAACAATTCAGACTTCCAGCTGACACTGGAGATACCAGTACTGCAAGAATTCTATTGACTTCAGTTGTTGCAGTGCTAAATTTCCAATGGTAGTAGTAAATGAAGCTACTATAAACACCCAGCTTAAGTATCTATATGCTATAACTGTTAGGGAAAATGAAAGCCTTAAATTTCAGAAATTGCATTGAAATTATTTGCTGCTCTTCTGGATTAGGTGTGATTAAATACTCAGGTTTTACTACAAAAAAAATTCCTTCCAGTAGCACCTTAAAGTGCTCAGGTTTTACTGTCATTTAGTTTTCAAATGTTAAAAAGTATTGTTGTTTTTTGTAGTGCTGATGACATCATTTTGAAAATGCACGGCAGCCAGTTGACACAAAGATACCTGGAGAAGCAAGGGTTTGATGTTCCCATTATGGTTCCTAAATTAGATGGCCTAGGTCTCAGGCTTCCTCCCTCTACTTTCTCTGTTCTGGATGTGGAACGATACGTAGGTATGGTCTGTTATGAAGAACAGGGTAAAAACATGTGAAGTAATTAAAATGGTAATAAAACCACGTTTACTGTAATTAGAAGTGGGGCTACCTAAACTGATGTATGCAGTCACTAATGGAGTTTAGCCTTTGTCACTCTGCTCTGTGAATGTGGTATGCAGAATACTAACATGTCAACTCTTAGTCAGTGCAATGCAAGCAACTTTGTGGACAACTTGTGTGTAGCTTTAGGGCCCCTTCAAATTAGAACAAAAAAACGAAAGCAGCCTTTTGGAAGGATGAATATTCACACCTGGAAGTTTAGACATTACATTTCTTTGCCTGCATCTTTACTGTGATAAGGTTTGAGAACATTTAGTTTAAGCTGAGTTCTCTACACTTTACAATTTCAAAGATGAAAGCTTTTAAATGTGTGATCCAGTGTTGTGCAAGTAGGTTTCTCTTTGCTTCTGTCTTGCTTCCTTCAAATTGTTCCAGAGGGATTCCCTGTTGTCAGGAGCAGGTTTTGGGGGGATTCAGATAGGAAATGAGAAATGAGAAGCCCGCTTGTGTAGTGAGGCCCTTTCTGTTCATGCACAGACAGCATTAGATGACACCCTCTATATTTAGACTACACATCAGATTTAGTGAGATTACTCCAACAGTAAAAGTGTGAGATCTACATTGTCACTATCTCTGAAATTGTAGTTCCAGGTTGCTGGTAAGACTGATCACTTTGTTGGCTAGTGAGGGATAACCTTCAGGTTTCTATGAATTTCCTCAGTGCTGCACAGTTCTTCATTTTACCTTAAGAGAGCATTACAATATAATAAAATATGTCTTGTTCTATATAACTTAAATGTTGCTTATTTTTTAGATTACTAACTACTTTTTAAGAACACTAGAAATGTTATAGAAAGTAATATTTTGCCAAAATCCCTAGATGTGACTTTCAGTGATGTTTATTGTTGATCCTTGTTTATGTAGAGCCTTAATGTTTTCTTTTTTTTACAGGTGGTGATAAAGTGATAGATGTTATTGATGTGGCAAGACAAGCAGACAGTAAAATGAAGCTCCATAATTATGTTAAGTATTTCACAAATCCTGACAGACCAAAAGTATTAAATGTGATCAGCCTTGAATTTTCAGACACAAAGTGAGTATATGGCTTTTACACATTTGTTTTGAAATCCTATATCAGGAAGTGGATTACAATATAATTCCCTGGCTTCCTAAAGGCTTGCTCTAATTAAGATGTACAGGTGGTACATGACCCCAGTCAAGCTTGCAAAAATTTATCATCTGCCCGATAATAAATGTTGGAAATGTAAAGAAACTGAAGGTACATTCTTTCACCTTTGGTGGACGTGCCCAAGGATTAAGGCTTTCTGGGAGATGATTTATAATGAAATGAAAAAGGTATTTAAATACACTTTCCTGAAGAAACCAGAGGCCTTTCTCCTGGGCATAGTTGGCCAATTGGTGTCAAAGAAGGATAGAACTTTTTTTATGTATGCTACAGCAGCAGCAAGAATACTCATCGCAAAGCATTGGAAGACACAAGACCTACCCACTCTGGAAGAATGGCAGATGCAAGTAATCGACCTTATGGAAATGGCAGAAATGACTGGCAGAATCTGAGATCAGGGAGAAGAGTTGGTGGAAGAAGATTGGAGCAAATTTAAATTTTTTTTATAGAAACATTGTAAAATGTATGAATGTTGATGACATTGAAATGAAATGAAGGTGTTCTAGTAACAAGATATATTGTAAGATTGGATTGATAACAGATAAAAATTTGAAATTATAATTTGGGAGGAAAAATAATTAAGGATAAAGTAATAGGATATGAATTTGCTGAACCAATTTTCAAAAAGGGATACAAAAAAGGGAGACGTGAGGAAGTCAGGAAAATAAGTTAATCAAAGATGAGAAATTAAAAGAGAGGGATTTGACTTTTTCTTTTTTGTGTGCTTATTTGTTTTTTTCTGTTTTCTTCTTTTTCCCCCCTGTTAGGTTAAATGTTTGTATTTTTGTATTGTGTAATTTTGCATTGTTGTGTTTTATATTTTTCTTGTGTTTTTCTTGTTCTCTGTTTGTTATTTTTGGAATTTCTTTATTGTTAAAATTCAATAAAATACTATCTAAAGGCTTGCTCTAATTAAGTAGAAAAATCATTCTTGGAGGCTGGCATTTGGCAATATGGAGATTGGCAAATGAAAGTAAATATATTTGGCCTGCTTCTCATGTCATATTCAGCCATACTTTACAACTATTGTTGAATGTAAACTAGCAGCATAAAGGTCCACCTTGCTTAAAATTCCCCAGGGTCCTTCTGCTTCTGCAGGTGAAGCAAGCCCAAGTCTGGCTTCTTGTGTCATCCAAACCTGTAGTTTGGAGGAAATGAGCAATGGGTTTAGTTGACATAACAAGTAAGATTTGGGCAATGGTAGCAGTGCATTGGGAACTTTTGAACAGTGTGCAGTAGCATGCAATCATTCACATTAAGCCACAGTTTGTTTTATCTTGTGGTTTAATGTGATGTGTGAAGTAGGTCACAGTAATTTGATTATGATACCTTTGTCTAAAACTTAGCAGGAATTACCCTAAAATAACTTTGTTTGAAGGAATGAATGAGTGCCATTTGATCTTTTAAGGGTAGCATCTGAGAATATGCTAAATATTAATTAATTAACCGCCACTGCCACTTTTGACTTCTGAAGAGCTACTGTACTTAATTGGTGCAGATAAAAACATCGTAGACACTGTGCACCTTCACTAAAATTCATTCACTGTACTATTATTGTATGTGTTTCTTCTTTTAAGGATGTCTGAATTAGTGCAAGTCCCTGAAATCGCCAGAAAACTTTCTTGGGTTGAAAACTACTGGCCAGATGATTCAGTCTTTCCTAAGCCTTTTGTTCAGAAGTACTGCTTAATGGGAGTTCAAGATAGCTACACAGATTTCCATATTGATTTTGGGGGAACTTCTGTCTGGTATCATGTTCTCTGGGTAAGAAAACACTGCTGATTTCTAAATATAGAATGTACAGTATTCATAATGGGTTTTTAAAAAAATAATCTTTAAGGGTTCTTGCATGCACCAGCCTGGTTCCAACATAACACTAAACCAAACTACAGCTTAGCCCAAATGAGGAAATGTGAGATGAGATTGTGTCTGCTTTGCTCCTTCCCAGTCATTTTGCTGCTTTAATGCACTAAGTTGTGGTTTGGCTTAATGTTGTGTGCAATCTTTCCAGTCAAAAGTGAGCTGTAACCAAGGTTTGTCCTGTGTCTTACAGTTTGTCTGGAAGAGCTAAACCATGAGCCCAGGTTTGGACAACACACTAAGCCAAACCACAGTTTTATATAGCACAATGCAGCAGCACAATGATTGGGTGGGTAGGAGCTAAATGGCTCATGTTTGCTCATTATTATTATTAATTGAATTTACATATTGCCCTATACCTGAAGGTCTTAGGGTGGTTATGAATGACACTGTTGAAACTGTTAGTTCAATTAAGGTTTTAAGTTTAACCACACCGGGCATTTTGTGACTATTGGCCTGAGAGTTTTAAAATTGTTATTCTGAACACTAATGGGTGTGATAGCTGGAAAAGCTAATAAAAACTGATCTCTTCCAACTTCATGCCATTGTCTGTTTTGCTATGCCCAGAGCATTATTTCTAGGCCTATCATGTTCAGTTGGGAAAGAACCTAAGCATTTTCATTCCTATACCCCATTCCCAACTTACCAAACCTGATGCACTCAAAATGATGTTGGGCTACAATAGGGTTGATTGGAGTTGCCGTCCAACAACATCTTGGGGCCACCAGTTTGGGAAAGCCTGCTTGATCCCATCATCTTCTACCTCTCCTTAATTGCTACTATCACAGTTTTATTGTGTATCAGAGACAAATTTAACCACATTCAATATTTTTTTATGTATAGGGTGAAAAGATATTCTACTTGATCAAACCTACTGATGAAAATTTGGCAATCTACGAATCTTGGAGTTCATCTGTCACCCAGAGTGAAGTGTATTTTGGAGATAAAGTTGACAAGTGTTACAAGTGTGTAGTGAAGCAAGGACATACTTTATTTGTTCCCACAGGTAAAATGCTTTCCTCAAGGAATAATCATGCTCATATCTGTTGAGTTTGGTGGCTGGTGTTCAGAGGACTCTTTAAAATTCAATTTTTAAAAATGTGCTAATGTGTTTAGCAATTATGACTCAATTTAGGATAAGGAAGTTGAGAAATTATTAAAAGTTCCCACTCAGAGGCTGCCTGCTGTGTCTGAAAGATTCGCTGTTCTGGACTTGTCTCCATCCAGTCAGCCTCTGCTAGGGTGCCTGAATCTGAATAGGTGTGGCTGAAACATTAAATCTCTCATGACACAGTGAAACAACTTGTCCTTAGAATTGTTAAGAGTGTCTGCATGAATCGCTGCTCTGGGATTTCTCCTTCAAGTGAGGATGCCTGTTCAGATCAGTGACTCACACAGACATACAAGGTCTAGACTCCTCTGAGTGTGAGTAACTTCTTTTTTCCTCACACTCGAGTCTACTTTGAATGTAAAAGTAAAGGGTTTCTAAGATTTTTAACTAGGAAACTAAGTATGCCTTAGATAGTTCTATTTGAAAAGCAACATTTTAAAGCAAAATAATTTAATGTGCAGTGTGTTACGGCAACGACTATGTAACCCTAATCAACAAAATAAAAGATATCTCTGATACTGGGATTTAGCAAATCCTTTGGGAGAGAGCAGTGTGAAATAGTCACCAAGAATATCTCACTATGTCTTTTTCAAACTTGCCTTATTGATGCCAGTACCATGAGGTCACTTATGGTTATGCTTGACTTGTGACAATTCTTTTCGTATGTAAGGTCACATTTATGAGGGATTTATAGGTTGCTACAGACACCACCTTGAAGTGTGCCTGAAAAACTGCCAAACACAGTGCAGATCTTATTACTGGTAAAATGTCCTTCCTAATGCGAAAGAGAACCACATTCTTCAGCCAAGAGCTCAGCACAGATGGTATTGTAGAAGTCTAGTCATGGTGTTATGAGAAGATAATGGACTCCAGGGCTCCAGAGAAAAAAAAATCCAGAGAAGCAATGACCATCCCTCCACTTCTGTGCTGTCTTTTAGAATTTCCGACTGCATTAACTGACCTATTTTGAGCATATATATTGGATATTATCTTCCATGTATCACTTAATGATTACACATGGGGTGGTTTTTAAATATCGTGCAAGAAACTAACACAAGAAAAATAATAAACTGCAATTATACAAGCTAAGGAGGTTTCTGATACTAGGGTTAAACTCTTTAGACAGTGTTTCCATTCAGCGTGTCATAGACTTCCGTTTCAAGATTGAATTTAGGTCTTTAAGCAGAGGCTTGACAACCATATGTCAGGAGTGCTCTGATGGTGTTTCCTGCTTGGCAGGGGGTTGGACTCGATGGCCCTTGTGGTCTATTCCAACTCTATGATTCTATGATTCTATTCTATGAATTAGATAAAATAAACACTTTTGACTTTTATCCTGGTACTTCAGTTTGTTCCCAGCTGGAGCTGGAAGAGGCTTGGATTTTGGGATTGTCCATTTTCACACACTTTCTTCACCAAACTGCTACACTTAGACAGTTTAATAGGATGTGGATGTCTTTCACTCAGTGTGATTAGTGATGCCAATATTGTTATAAAACATTATCTTGGATGTCTTCAAAGTATCAGTCCTATCCTGTGTTTTGTTGAAGTCCAAAATGTAGGGCATGCGAAATATTTTGTAGCAGGGATACTCAGGTTCTACTTACCTGTCATTTCAGGCTGGATTCATGCTGTGCTCACTTCTCAGGACTGTATGGCTTTTGGAGGAAACTTTTTGCACAACCTCAATATTGGCATGCAGCTCAGGTTTGTATTGGAGCTTTCTCTTTTTATTATGTATCTTCTCCCATAAGCTTGAAAATATTTTTGTCATTCAGTTGATACATAATTGATTAAATGAGATTAAATGGCACAAGACACTAATAAAAGAGACAATGCTGCTATTCTGCCAGAGGTGGACTGAATATTGCAAGAATTATTTCCAGATAGAAATGAATAGTTTGTTCTGTTCTACTTGACTTTGAAATTAAACAATATAACATGGAAGATTACATCAGAACAAACTGAAATTTGGCAAGCAAAACTCAGGAACTGGAAAATAAATTCTAATTCCTGCATTACTCGAGAGTAAACTTTTTGTTCTAAGCATACCATAATGGCATAAGTTGCTTGAATTCTGTCTGTTTAAAGTTGGGTTTATATATTAGCATTATGAAGTCCAACGTCGCAGCTCAATATGCAACAGAGCTTCAAAAGAGATAAGTCCAGAGCTTAGAAAAGTTCTGCCCAATTTTGTCAAGTTTGATCTTACTACTCTTGAGTATAAATCTTGATGTATCTTGTTTGTCATGGACTGCTTCATTTTGCTGCACACCATATAATTTAGGTGAACACAGTTAACAGTGATCAATATTCACACAAAATAATCCTTCTAAATTGTTTATTTAGGTGTTATGAAATGGAGAAAAGGCTAAAAACCCCAGATCTTTTCAAATTCCCTTTCTTTGAAGCCATCTGTTGGTTTGTGGCCAAAAACTTACTGGAAACTTTGAAAGGTAACTCATTTCATGTTTTAAGAAGAACGTGAGGCTAGACTTTTTTTTACCATTTGCGGGAAGACCCATGTCTAATGTACACCAGTCAAACAAGACATAAGTTACTCATAGTTTATAACTGGAAAATGTAAGTGTAGCTACTTTGTTCAGTTTTGATATGACAGAAGCTTTATGGATTAAAAGCATTTGTAGTAAACGATACACATATGATTCATGTGCAGCGGAGTACAAAGGCTTTGACAAAGAACCTTTTCTTTAGAGTGTCCTATGTATCTTTAAATATGTGTCAACTGCAGTTATTTATGTGGAAGTGAAAATGTATTTGTTTCAGGACCACATTCATGCACAGCCCTCTAAAGTTACAGTTGTCACCTCACTCAAATTATTAACTTGTACGCTGCTTCCCTTAGTCTCTGTTAGTCAGTAATCTATGCACCTCCATTTAGGTTCTCTGCCAGTCTCCCGCAAAATAGCTTTTTTCTTAGTAAGACTCACTTTCTTATTTTTCTTATAAGACTCACTTTTATAAAGTAAATGTAGTTCAAATAGCTGAACTGGGAACTAATAGAAGTTCAAGAAACTGAGGAAAGCAACTGAAGCTGACAAGTAACTAGACTGTTAGGCAACTGCACAACAGGAGGCTGAACATAAAGCTTAAAAATTCCACCTCTAACCCCAAAACTGTTCTGATAATACGGTGTGGGAAGGATATGCTTTTGTGAATATGCACATGTATAAGAAATGTCCATGGCCACCACCTTAGCACTGAACCCAGGCAGCCAAGTCTTCTTTTTTTAATCTGATTTAAAAATCATTTCACTTAGCCACCACCCTGTCAAGGGTGCTTCTACCCAAAGGAATGCACACAGCAGTGAGTTCACTCTATATTGTCAAAGATAACACAGTTGCTTCTATGGCTCCAGATACCTACACACACCAGTCTAGTGTCTAGGCAGCTACTCCCAGGTTCACTCTATATGGAGCAGTTGCAGCAACTGGTGATCACTCCCCCCCTCCACCATTTTATGTATGATAGGCTGTTTGCCCATAACCAGAGACTACACCTGCATAGAAGCTTCCTCTGCTCGTTGCACTTCATTCTTCTGCTGGTTCTGGGAGACAGTGGTGCAGGAGAGGGTGGGGAGACACCCTGCCCTTCACTTGCCTGGCCTGCCTCTTCCTCCAACTCTCAAACTTCCTCTCCCTCTGATTCTTGTTTCCTGGCTGGTACAGGAGCTTTGGTGCTTCTCATTGGCTTTCCTTTGGAAGCTAAAGGGCTGCCCCTAAGTCTAAAGAAAGCTTAGTGAACATGCCACCTCAGTAGGTTTCTAGTTTTACTTCATGCTCTCCCCTGCTGATAACAAAGTTTGGAAAGTTACTTTCTACTGAGGCTGAGACTGACTAAAGTCCATGAGATTTTTTCATGTGTAGCTTGGTTACTGAATCCCATAGATCCATTTGCTCTGAAGATCCATTGGCATGTGGCTTGGCAAACCACTGTTTGGTTTATGTGGGGCAATCCTGTAAAAACGGGGGTGTTGGGAAATTCTCCTTTGGGGCAGGGGTTGGCCATGATGGCTTTCAACCCCTTTTCTTTCCTAGAAGTTAATGAATTAAACGATTCATTTACATTACAAAACGATTACTGTAGGAATGTACAGTTGTGTGGCTTGCTGTAACTGCTAATTAATGACCATACATATTGTAGTAATTTATAAAAGTTTGTTTTTAAAAAGAGGCTCTTTTTGAACTTTGTAAGTGTTGATGCTATAAACCCACAGTTTACTCTTCATTGTAGTTTTGAATGCATGAGTAACTTTTTACAGGTTTAAAGGTTGAGAGAGATGTAAATTTAAATACTCATTTGACATTTATATTAATCTAATGTGCAGTGTTTGTCTTTATTTCCAGAACTGAAAGAGGATGGTTTTTACCCTCAAACTTTCTTAGTACAAGGAGTGAAAGCTTTACTTACTGCTTTAAAGTTATGGATGAAAAAAGATGTAAGTTGAAATGTGTAGTCATAATTTTTAGTGGGTTTTCTTTCTTTAAAAGAAAAGCCTTTAAAATGCAATACAGCTTCATAAAAATTCTGTATATAAATATGCTGCTGATTTGTATTTGGGGGAACTTAACTGCTTATTTTCCTGTTTTACTTAACAGCTGGTAACAGAACATGCCTTTGAAATTCCAGACAATATAAGGCCTGGACAGCTAATTAAAGAACTATCTAAAGTGATTCGTTCTGTAGAGGTAAGAATAAAATACATTGAATATGATTGCAAAATTTGGATAATCGCATATGATTACTTTCAGCTTTTGGAGATGCTCTCCTTTAGTTGTGCTCCTCTCTTCAAAAATAACTGCTCGTTTGCTGAAATAATCACTTCCAAACTTTTATTACTCATGGTTGGCAAACTGTTTAGGTCTTATGATTATAAGATACTATGGTCCTATCTTAGAATTCAAAGTTTAAGTAATCGCATTATGGGGGAATTATAAAGGCAGTTTAGAGTGAATAATGAAATTTGAATTAAATCTTTAGCTGGAGCATAACATTCTCTTTCTCTTACATTTCAGTAGTGGACAGAGTCCCTTAGGGAGCTGTTGTAATAGACAATACAGGAAGAGGATGGAATAATCTTGTTGAAAGTCTTATACTGCTACTTGAAAGTGAAACCTTTCACTTTAAATTGTGTGGAATTGTCAATATAGGCTGCTCTAAATAACTTTCTTTTATTTAAAGGAGGAGAACAGCAAACCAGTTAAAACTCAGGGAATTATTGGTGTGTGCCAAGTTTCGCGTTCATCAAATGAATCAGCCTCCACCCATCATTCCAGACGAAAAGCAAGGAAGCTACGGGACCATGCCATCAAAACTCCATCTAATTTGGACATCTTGGAGCTCCACACAAGAGAAGTTCTTAAAAGACTAGAGATGTCTCCGTGGGAAGAGGCAAGTACAGAATTGCATATTGGAGCAAAGTAAAGCACAACTAGAACATTTAATGTGCAGGGCAGATGGCACACGTAAAAATGGGAAGTTGTTGCATTTTTAAAACAAAGACTGTGGGAGGTATAATCATATCATCACTGGTTAATGTTCAATGAAAATATTATTCTCACTTTTCCACATCATTGAATACCACTGGTTTGGTGAGGAAATAGAGTTGTTGCACTACCCAGGCACTTATATATATTGTACTGGACACCACAGGTAGGGAGGAGCGAGCTCAAAATGCACTTTCCATTTTGGGTGTATGTGAATAGATGAATTTTGAATTAGCAAATATAGATGTAGTGTGGCAATAAACATATACAGTATGGCTACAGTAAAAGAATGCTAAGCCTGGAATCAGACCTTTCAAATACTTCTCCATTTTACCCAAAAAGATCCAGGACAGACCATATTTTGGAAGTTGCCTCTACATACTCTCCTGTGATCTAAAAAGTATTTGGTACCGGAGCTGTTTTAAGAAGAAAAATTAGAAGGGTTTTGCGGTAATGGTGGTCTTTCCCACTGGTATCACTTTTCCTTTAAAACATCTCATCCAAATCCCCAATTACCTCCCATTTCTGGAACCTTAAGTATATAATTCTGCTTGTTCCCAGTGTATAGTTTGTGGGATAGGTTTTTATAGGTGAGGATATATTAATTGCAATTTATCCCTCCAGGTGCCCACGTTTGTGGGTTGAACAGTGTTTTAAAATCCTACCCCTAGCAGCAAAATTAAAAGCATAGGTGTTAGGTTGTAAAACCTTGTTTTGAACACGTCCGGCTATGAAGTAAGCTGTCTTCCCTTTCTTAACCCACTTAAAAAAGAATCAAGCAACAGACTGGAAAGTAAGCTTAAAAATATAATTTACTTACTTGATAATCATGCATTGGTACACAGCAAAAGCAGAAGTAAAAACTATGCAGGCAAAATACTTAATATTTACAGTATAACCTGCTTCAGGCATGCGCTGAAGCTGGAGGAAGCAGAGACATGTCTGCATCCATTGCTGGTCAGAAAGAGAGAGAGAGAGAGAGAGGAATTACTAAGTGTTCCTTCCTGTTCAGGAGAGAAGGGAAAATGACATCATACAGAGTCCTCTCTACCAGTTATATTTCTATGTCTGAGTATCTTCTTGTTAGCAATACAGCTCTGTGGACTTAATAATATATGTGCTGATACGTTGTAAAAATTCATCTGTAAAGTTACTATGGCGGTCTTGTGTCTTAAATTATTTCTCAGAGGAAGTGCCATCCGTCCATACTTGCAAAGTAGAATAGTTTAGACATGTTAATAGTGAATATGTGCACTAAGCACCAACAATCCAGAGAAGGGGAGAGGATTGAGTGTTGTGCAGGAGGAAGAAGTTGCTGCAACTTGGGCCATGTGCGTGAAAGACAATTGTACACATGAAACAGGCTTCTCTCTCTGCTGTAATGGCTATTAATAATGCAGGATTTCTTCGTTTGCTGGCTGTCAGTGTTTCAAGTGTGGCTTGGCAGTGCACCACCGCTGATGTGGATTACAAAGAGAAATAGCTTATTAAAGTACCATTAACCGTAGGTGAAATCTTTTGTCCCCTTGCTTTAGGACACGGCAAATGGTAAACTGAATGGAAGGTTTAACAAGCCTCTTCAGCCATCTTCTACTGTTCCTGAATGGAGAACGAAGGACAACGATTTACGGCTTTTGCTGTCAAATGGAAGAATAATTAGGTATAAAAACATCCGCATGTAGCTTGCTACATGTAGTTTACTTTAGGCAATTTTGAAAATCCAGCTTGTAGTTAATTGACAGATCTGGGCTGAAAAAGGGATACAGCAAGAAACATCTGTAACGAAACATAGGAATTAAATGTTTGGAGGAACAAAGGGCCACATTTTGCAGGACTGTCTCCAACTTGAAGCAGTTCTGGATAGAGTGCCGCCATAATGGACTTACCTTGTGCGGTGGGGCAGCAGCATTTGAAACCCTGCCAGACGGCTCTTATGTCACCTCCACCTTAATTTCTCCTAGTGCCCTCAGGAAGCACCATTTGTGGCATTGTGAGCAAATTTAAATGTAGACTAGGTCCAGCTAACTTGCGCTGCTGGAGCTCTGACTCAGAAAAACTTCAAGCACCACTGAGCTCCAGTCCTGCTAATATAGATGGTTTTAAACCTGGTGTCAGGTCTGGAGTCAGATGCAGGTCAGCATGAAGAAGCAGTCTCAGTTGTCAGTGAAGTTAACTCTTTATTCAAAGAAAAGGCATACAACTCAACAACACTTACCAGCAGGTTTTGCCCCCATAGAGCAGTTGCCAGGACTGAAGGTCCCTGCCTCCCTCGCCCTTCTGAGGTTCCCCTCCCCCAGATGTTTCCCAAGCAGTCTCAAGCTGCATCTGCACAATTCTGGCCTCTGTTCCTCTCTCCTCGTTATTCAGCACATTCTTGGAGACGGGGTGGGTGGGGAGAGCAGGTCGCAGCAGGAGAAGAAGACTCCCTGGATTCTTCTGTAGTCTCTTGACCCTGCACCTATGTTTCTGCCTTGCAGTCTGAACAGCTCCCTGTCACATGCTCTTCCTGCTCACTATACCCTGTTGACCCTTCAGCATTCAGTACTTCCTTCCATTCTTCTCCCTCTGACAGGTCAGAGGGTCCCATCACCAATCCCCTGGCTCTGAGCCTTTCTTCTCTGGGGTTTCTCTGTGGGGCGGGGGGGGGGGGGTTCCCAGCTGGTTTTCCCCACCACTCTGCTTCGTCCAGCCAGTCTCTGACACCTGGGGTGGAGAACCTTTTTCAGACTAAGGGCATTACTCATTCATGGGGAAACATTCTGGAGACCATATGCCAGCGGTGATCTGGGTCAAAGGCAAACGTGGGCAAAGCAATGGGTGTGACTCTTACATTTGTACAGTAGGATACATTCCACCAATGCACATCTCTTCACATATCCCTCCAGTAGCATGCCCCCCCCCCCAGCAAGCAAGAGGCATTATCCTACTTCAAAAACACATTGAAGGATTGTTCAAAGCAGAGTGGTGGTAATGTGGCCTTTGGTGAAGGCATGACCTGCAGAGAGTCTTGAGGGCCAACTTGAGAGGCTTGGAAGGTCAAGTTTGGCTTCCTGGCCTGAGGTTTTCCACTCCTGTTTCAAATAATTGAAAATGATTTAAACCTTCTGTTAAAGAGAATAACAGCCAACAATTCTGCACAGACTTGGGAAAAATTCTTCAGTAGATGAGAAATGGTACTTTAAAAGTTCTAGGAAGCAGTGAAAATTGGCTATTCTAAAAAGATGGGGCAAGGCCCCAATGGATCTTTTTTTGGTTTGGTAACAGGTTATTTTATTACAGAGATGAGAGGCAACCTTTCAGAGATCGAAGTCTTTACACCGCGGACAGTGAAGATGAGGATGAGAGAGCAGAGTCAGAGAAGGAAATAACAGTTAAGGCAGAAGAAGAGATCTCCCAGGAAGCAGATGGCAGTGTAGATGCTCAGAAACCACTGAACAGTAAGTATGTTTTCCTTGAACTAGAAATCCAGGGCTATTGTATCTGTACCGTTCTTCATTGTTGCTTTGTACTGCTGATCAATGTGGCATCATTCATCAGGGTAGTTAAGCTTCCACTGACAATCACTGCATTTAGACATAATGATAAATCATGTCTTAGCACTATGCGATTGAGCCTTACTCTGCTCAGACTTGTGTGCTGTCCTCATTTTCTCCTTTTCTTGCATGACTGGAAGGAGGATTATGGAAGTTTTTACTTTTCATTTTAGTTAAACCAGTCCTTCCTCTTTCTTCTGAACCAGAGTTCATGGCTAACACTAACTATACTTAGTTTAAACAAGCCAGCTTCAAAAAGCATGAGTTGAAGCTGACTTGCTTTTGAAACTGAAGTCCATTCCCTGGTTCAGACTGAAGCAGAGCTTTGGCTGGTTAAAACCCCAAATAAAAGCATCTGGAATCCTCATCTTGGCCACATGGGAGGGACACACAAGCTCAGGAGAAGGCAAAGTTCTTTTACACAGCACTATGCCATGGTTTAGTGTCACTTCCAGATGCAGCCAATATTTTTTAAAAAAGGCTAAAGGTGGGTTATGAGTGTTTGTTAAATTCAGACATGGCTGTGTTCATAGACGTAGGTCAATGTCTTTGGTTAATTGGGAAATACATAGCTAGGAATATCTACGACTCATGAGCTGGATCTGTTGGGGACCTTAGTATAATGAGTTCAAGCAGTATGTTATCCCCGCATAAATAAATTATTGTGACTGTCTATGATCACAGGAAAAAAGTCCAATTTGATCAAAGTAGAATTTCTACCGATAATTCCCTATATATGGAATATATAGTATTTTCTCACAATTACAGTGGCTTTCTGAGGCCAGAAATTAAATTCCTAAGAACTGGGAAGTAACAAATTACTTATAAATTACAAACTTTCATTCCTATACTGCTTAACAGTGGGCATTAAATTCTGTTTTTGGAGTGTGGATTTGTGTACTAAGAGTTTCATTGTCTTCAAAGCAATGTACAGTCACAGGATGAAAGGCTCAGTTGGTAGCAGGAGCTATAGGGAAGTATGTCCAGTTAATATATGGCAAATCTAAAATCCCTCTGTTTTTCTCCTCCAGTGTTCTTTGAAAGTGTGAAATCAGAACTCAGGAATGGAAACTCAGAATACTCTGATATTTCTGATTCAGAAGAATCTGAGCCTGATTGCACTAACCAGGTAAATACAAGAGTGTCACAGGTGGTGGTTAAATGAAGTATTAAACATTAGAATTCAAAGGACATCTAGCTCTGAATAGTATTAATGACAAAAATGGGCAAGAACAGTTTGTGCATGGGGGGTGGAGTTAGATGAAAGGTCAGCTAGTATAGATATAAACTGTTTTTTTTGCTGACCCTGCTACAAATCCATTTTCTTTTTAAATTTTATAGATCTGCAACTAAAGTACACCAAGCATACATTTATGCAATCTTTTATTGCCTAAGACATGGCTTCCAAATAGAATCCCATCCCATCCTCATAACCCAACATCTCCTCTAGGAATATATATTTAGTCACCCTAACCTTAAGAATTAAACCACAGAGCCTAGGGCTTGCCGATCAGAAGGTTGGCAGTTCGAATCCCCACGACGGGGTGAGCTCCCGTTGCTCGGTCCCTGCTCCTGCCCACCTAGTAGTTCAAAACCACGTCAAAGTGCAAGTAGATAAATAAGGTACCACTTCGGCGGGAAGGTAAATGGCATTTCTGTGCGCTGCTCTGGTTTCACCAGAAGTGGCTTAGTCATGCTGGCCACATGACCCAGAAGGTATCTGCGGACAAACGCTGGCTCCCTTGGCCTATAGAGCGAGATGGGTGCACAACCCCAGAGTCGTCTGCAACTGGACCTAACCGTCAGGGGTACCTTTACCTTTAACCTTAAGAATTAACGAAGATTAAAATATGAAGTAGAAATTAGTGTAGAAGTTAATGGTATTCATTGTGTTGAAAGTTTTGTTTTCCTCCCACCAGCAAAAAGATTTCTCTCTTGAGGAGTCAGAAAGCTCAGGTGATGAGAAACAGGAAGTAACTTCAAATTTTAGAGAGGAATCTAAAATAACAAATGACCTCTTTCAAACCACGCAGAAGCCATCTAGACATCTAGAAATGACAATTAAAAGGTGAGTAAAAAAAGGGTGGTGGTGGTGAACAATTACAAAGTTAATGGAGGTGCTTGAAGCAAATTATATTCATTGCTTTCTGTTAAATAGGAAGATGAAACATTTTAGTCCTGTGATACAGCTTTCTTCTTTCCTCTTATTTTTTAGGGAATGTCCTACCTCGACCAGTACGGAGGAAGAAGCTATTCAGGGCATGCTTTCTATGGCAGGATTGCACTATACCACTTGTTTACCAAGTCATATGCAGAGCACAGACTGCACTGATAGAAGAAGCTCTCTTCAGGAACACAGAAGCTATCCCAAAAGTAGGCATAAAGACAAGCTGTCTTCCCAGAGTCATAAAGCAGAATATGGTATGTTCTCTTGTAGATGTATATTATGGCAAAACTAAAAGATGCCTAAGCTATAGATTGCAAAAGTAGGCTGCATGGCTGGATTAGCTTGAAAGTTGCAGTCCCCTTCAGGGAATCAAGATCAATGGAATATCTGTAGTGGGGGTTTTTTGGTCAGATTTAGATTTTCTAGCTTTCTAAGACAGCAGATGGCTCATGTGCTGCCTGTAGAAAAAAATAGATCCATCTGACTTCAGCTACTAGTGCACATGCCAGGCTAAAAAGGTCTGTGTAGTTGGGCAGACAGTTTCTAGTAAAAGCAAGTGACTAGACTGCTGGAAACATGCAAGGCCTACATTTCTCCATTACAACTTGAAGCTGGAAGGCATGTGCTTCAAATGCCCTTGTTTCTCTTTCTGATATTAAGTGCTTAAGATACTAACACAAGAAATCTGTTGTGGTTGAATTGATTAATTTATAATTGGGGGCATTGTGCAGAGATTTCAGCAGGTAACCGACAGATGCAGTGACTCATGCATTCTTGCATTAACAGATGGATTTATTTTTCCAGCTAGAGAGGTAATAAAACTCTAAGCATTCGTATTCTCAAATTACTCGATATGAGATTAGGAGTGTAAAAAACTAAAAACTAAAAACCTTACAGGGGCTGCTTATGGGATTAAAGACACCTGTGTGTTAACACTGTGTTTACTAATTCTACCACAGTAGGGTTCTTTAACGTAGTAAATACAACAATTTATATAGATTTTAATGATTGTGAATGAAATTTCATTGGAAGTATAAAATCCAGTTTAATACAATGTTCATTTAAAGTTGATAGAAAATACAGGAAAATATCACTAATCCAAGTAGTAGCAGCAGCAGCAGCAGCAGCAGTAGGGTTTTTTACATTGAATTTTCCAAGACCATTATTTAGGCTTAAAATGAATTTTTTAAAATATAAAATTGAGACAATGGCCACATTCAGATGTAATGCTAAGCCACGAGGTCTCCCACATATTTCACTTCTGCTTTAGTCAAGCAGAGAAACAAACCATGGAATGGCTTACTTTGTGTCATGCCAGAACTGGTGCTTGTAGTTTGTTTCTTTCCATGTGAACCATGACCAGAAGCCAAGTCTTGTTCTTTGCTTCCTGATTGGATTTGTTTGGGAGAAACCAAGAGGCTTGGTGGTTCACACATGATGTTAATCTGGGTTGTTCCTCTGCTTCAATAAAGGAAGAGCATTCAGTCTAGGTGCAAAAGTGCACAGCTTATACACAGGATAACTTGCTTAATCCATAAGTCATAGCTTAGTACTTTGTCTAAACACAGCCATTACCAAAATGTAGCAAAATCAAAATGTAACAGCAGAATAATGAGGGGGTGGGGAAGCATAAAAATATGATTTCAGTAGTAGCTTGTTAATTTGCTGATTCTGGTTTTCTTAAATTAATTTTACTTAATAAATTATAGCCTTTTGTCGGAGGGAAGAAAATCATAGCGTGGTTTCTTTTATATATAAAAGAATCAACAGTGATGTGAATTTCCTTTATAGAAGTTGGTCAGAATTGCCAGTACTTTGCCCCAGTAACTTGTTTCACCAGTTTAGGGAGATAGCAAGATGTTTGCTTTTAGCAAAACCCAGAAAGCATAGTAACTTGACAGCTGTGACAGCAGATGTTGTCTCAACTATAATCTGTTTGATGCTTTTCCACCCATCTCTATATCTATGGTTACGAAGAGATGCAGATGGCAAAGGCAAACAGTTTTGATCCAAAATGCTTCAGTTTTTCTGGTTTTGTATTGGGGAAGATCTAATGCTGTCTGAAGTATGAAAGGCGTGTACAAGTGGCACAAATGCTACAAGGATCTGATAAGTGTGATATGTTGGTGATCTTCCACTGTGAGCCATTACAATCACCACTGCAGATTGGAGCTAATCTAGTTTCCATTGTAGATTTATCTACCAGTAGATTTTAATACCTTTTGTATTACAAAGCTAGACCGTCCTATAACATTTTGGGGTGTGTTAGCATTCTCTTGCCCAAAGAAAACTGCAGACCTATGACTAGACAATAAGTTATTGCATTATTCTAGTAGGAAATTTGCCTGAGTGTAAAATTTGTTTTGTTGAACTTCTCTTGGGTTACTCTGGTAGTACACGGTGGAATCTGTAGGGGGGAATGAATAACATATAAAATATACTAAGAACTTCAAATTTCTGTTCAGGTAAGCACATAAAAGAAGAAAAAGATGTGGGAGCTTCAACATTTGCTTCACAATTACATGCAGTTTCTAAAATAAATCCTCAGGTAAGATTATATTATGTGTCTAATAAAGCAGCTTGCTGTGTACTGTACACATTATAACAGGAGTGGGAACTGGATTTGGCCAATTTGCTCTTGGCAGACTGCTTTTGACACGTGGGTGGGGATGCTGTATCAATCATTGGGCATCCTATACAATTATGTGATTCAACTTCAAAGGAAGAATTAAAATTTAAGGCCAATTGCAAGCCCGCTTTCTGCAGGGGTCAGCTCCGATTGAAAGCTGCTGAATGAAGCTGATCCCAGCAGCGCTTGCTTTTGACACCAAATTTAAAAGGTGCCGAATGCAAACTCTTTACTTGCAGAGGAACAATTGGGAGCATGCTTTAAGGCTTCCCATTGTTCCTTTGCACCCTGCCCCACACCTGACTTCATATAACATCCAGTTTGGGGCAGGTGGCTGTGGCTGGGGGAAACCGCCTTGTGGGCCTAGTTTGGGTCACAGGTTGGGGGTTCCTCAAGCTCACACTAAATATTCAGAGGGGTTCCAGATTACAGAATATAACTTTGATTAATTTCCTCTTGCAAGTAAGTGCCTCTGCTCTAACATGAATGTACTCTTTGGTGAGGGATGCTGTATAACTTGGACACTTAAGTATTTTTTTGCATGTTTTTATAAATAAGTGATAGTGTAAATAAGTAAGTAAGTAAGCAAATAAATTTTTATTTATACCCCGCCCACCCCGGCCAAGACTGGGCTCAGGGCGGCTAATATCAAATATCAAATACATTAAACACAATAAAAAAATAGTGTTTGATTAATTGAACAATTAATTATAAATTAGAATCAGGATAAAATTAAATGACAGCCAACACATTACAACCATGGGGTCGGGAACCTCAAGTATTCATCAGGGGTGTGCGGAATGTTGGTCCCACATGAGCCGATAAAAGGGCCAAAGAGGTAACTTACAGTGTCCCATGGGGGGGTCAAACTGGGCCCGGACCAAAGGCCAGGCGGAACAGCTCCGTCTTGCAAGCCCTGCGGAAGGATGTCAAGTCCCACAGGGCCCTGGTCTCCTGCGATAGAACGTTCCACCTGGCTGGGGCCAAAGCCAAAAAGGCCTTGGCCCTGGTTGAGGCCAGTTTCACCTCCATGAGGCCTGGGACCTCCAAGATATTATTATTTGCAGACCGTAAGGTCCTCTGAGGGGTATACGGCGGTCCCGTAACTACAGGGGTCCTAGGCCGTATAGGGCTTTAAAGGTTAAAACCAGCACCTTAAACCTGACCCTGTACTCCACCGGGAGCCAGTGCAGCTGGTATAGCACTGGATGGATGTGGTCCCACAGCAAGGACCCTGTAAGGAGGCTTGCAGCTGCATTCTGCACCAGCTGGAGTTTCTGGGTCAGCTTCAAGGGCAGCCCCACGTAGAGTGAGTTACAATAATCAAGCCTGGAGGTGACCATCCCATGGATCACTGTGGCTAGATCAGGGCGAGAAAGGTAAGGGACCACCTGCTTAGCACGGCGAAGGTGGAAAAATGCCGCCTTTGCTGTAGCTGCAACCTGCGCCTCCATAAAGAGGGAGGCGTCAAAGGTTACACCCAAACTCCTGACAGAAGGCATTGGCACAAATTGAGCCCCCGCAAGAGATGGGAGTTGGCCGCCCAACCCCATGTCGTCCCGACCCAGCCAGAGGACCTCTTGTCTTCGAAGGATTTAACTTCAACTGGCTCCCACACAGCCATGCAGCCACAGCTTCCAAGCATCTGGTTAGTGTGTCTGGGGCCGAGTCAGGATGGTCGTCCATCAACAGATGAAGATGGGTGTCATCAGCATATTGATGACAACCCAACCAAAATTCTGGGCAAGGGGGCACATAAAAATGTTTAAAAGCATTGGGGAGAGGATTAGACCTTGCGGCACTCCACACACCAAGGGGTGCAGTGACAACTCCTCCCCTAGTGCCAGCCTCTGTCCCTGACCTGAAAGGAAAGAGTGCAGCCAATGTAAGACTGTGCCCTGAATCCCCATGTCGGCAAGGCGGTAGTCCAAAAGTTCGTGGTTGACCATGTCAAAGGCTGCTGACAAATCTAAAAGTGGGATGGCAGGGGGAGAGATGCCGAAGTGTGGCATGCAAGGCTGCATTAGTGTAGGTTACACAAAGAAAGGAAAAGTAGTCAAGTTCACCTCTTCTATGGGTGTAGTCTACCCACATTTAAGTTCTTTGTTGTTTTCTGAACATAGTGTTGATGTTTTCACATGTTTGTAGGTGTCTCCCATTCATTCAGAATGTAGTTATTGGCTTCCTAGAACAAACTGTTTAAAGTTACAAAAACTGTCTTTCCGGTGGTGTATTCGTTGCATTCCAGAATCAAACTGTTCTTCTCCCTCCATAGGATACAAGTAAAGCTCAGAAATACTTCAAGAAGGAAGGTGCTTCTGAGACCAGTTATAAAATTCCAGAAAACAGGATCCATTTACAAAACAATGCTTTGAACTTCCCCCATGGCAAGTGCATCCAGGACTCGAGCTTGATTGAAGGGGAGTGCAGGCTAAGTGATGGCAGCCTCAGTCCTGACAGGCCATATGGTGAAACATCGTTGTCTGTACCGCTTCATCCAACTAAGCGGCCAGCATCAAATCCACCCCCTATCAACAATCAGGCAACAAAAGGTGGTGTAATCATCTGTGTTTATTTCTCTTAGACAGAAATCACTGACAATTGATTTTTGCAAAACAAGCTGTAGTGCATGGTTTAAATGATGTGCCCATTCAGAAAATGGGTTCCTACCCAGTCTGCAGTGCCACACAATCGGTCCTTTTTAGATGTTGAATTCCATAGTATTTCACGTGAGGGATTATGTTGTGCACATTTCTTTTTTTTAGCCTTACACACACCTATACTCTATAGGGCAAGGGCAATATAGGGTAAGAGGTGTTGTTGTTCTAGTTTTTAATATGTATTTTGTGTGGCACAAAATACATAATAACAACAACAATGGCATAATAATGACATCCCTTACAAGCCTGTAGTTCAGAACACTCCATATACATTGAAATGCATTATATAAATAAGGACTGGTGGTAGTTAGTATTGCAACCTCAAATTTGTACATTTGCCCTTCAGGTGGTTGGTATCTCACAACTATCTAATTGGAGTAGTAGTCAGTATACCGGAAGAGTAAGAACAGAATATAGCTAGTTCCTGACAAGTTTCTGTTTCCTCATATTCCTGTCTAGGAAATCCCATGTTGTGCCAACATGGGGCTGATTTTACTGAGCTATGGAAGTACAAGCGTGAATGGTGGTTAGCAGTACCAACTTTTTCTTTCTTTTTCAGGAAAGCGTCCAAAGAAAGGAATGGCAACTGCCAAGCAACGCCTAGGGAAGATTCTAAAGCTGAACCGAAATGGCCATGCGCGCTTCTTTGTTTGATGCAGTAGCTGCTACCACTGCTGCTGCTGTCCTTTTTATGCACGGACCAGTACTGAGGGGGAACAGTGCCTGGAGCTTCTGTTTTATTCCTCTGCTTGAAGCAGAATGCATGTACCTTATTAGAACACTGCCTAATGAACAAAAACTCAATGCTGCATTTTCACTGTGCCACACCTGCTCAGCAATAACCATTTGGGAAACAGGGGAATATTCAGAGAGACTATGGACTTGGGAGATGGTCTTTCTTCAGGGCTCAATCATTTTGTTGTTTCTGGTAGCGTCTGAGCTAATTCACGAACAGAAGAGTGTGATGAAGGTGGTTATCAATAATTTATTTGACAGATTTGATTTTTTTTTTTTGCAACTATTGAATTCATTTTAAAACTATTTATTTGGAAAACTCTTTGTGGGAATTATGATTTTTATTTTAGATGTTGAGAATGTGAAGGTTTTTGTTTGTCCTTAATGTCTGTCTGTCTTCCGTCTGTCTGTCTCCAGTGGAGAGCCACATGAATGATTTACTCTGCATTCAAACAATTGATAACAGGTATAGTCTTAAACATGGATGTGATGCATTAAGTTAAGGCACATGGAATCACATGTTAATTTCCGCTCTTTATATAAGCTCTTGACTGGCTTTTGTACTGACTTCTAAAGTACGTATTCTTTGCCAGTTAACCTTTCCCTTCTTGCTCCTCCCTCTTCCTCCTCTCATGTTTTGCCATTTGTTCTGGATGATAAATTGGCATAACGTTACTAAGAGCTCTTTTCACACGTGTGCTTCCTCCTCCTGCCTATTTGTTTCCATATCATGGAGAACGATTCATGCTAAGCATGGGTAGCTGTAAACCAAGGGTAGCACTACAGCTATTATTGATTTAAGTGTAGACATTTGAGATGCTTTTTTTTCTTTCTTTGGAGGAAGGCTATTGCGGCAGAGTATTGCTCGTCTACACATGCCAGCCAATGAAAGGTCTTAAGTTTTTGTATATATGTAAATATGTTTCATAGCTTGCTAAAACTCAGAATGACTATTTTGCGTCATGCTTTGCAAATATCCAGTAGTAAATGCCAATTCTGAAATACATGTAAATAACTTAGATGATAAATTTGTATTTTTGTAATATAAAATTGAATATTTAAGCTGTTTTTGGAGGAAAAGGGGAGGCAGCTGTACTACTACTTTGGTAAGAGGGCTATTCAGTACTAAAGTGGGAATACAAGGGATACCGCTTTGGATTTCTTCTTCTGTTGATAAAGAGTTAAAGCATGGCCAAAGCTACTCAGTTGCTTGACTTCTTTTAACTTCAATAAAAACTTCCAAGCCTTCAGGTTATATCAAAAATAAAATATCTTAAAAGTCCCCAAATAGGACTTTTCTGTGCTTAAACAATTTTATATATTCAGTATTTGCTGCATCTATATGTGTGTATCTGTATTAAACTAGACATAATGACCTTTGTCATCTATCAGAATAGATATTAGTCAGACGTCCTTGGCTACTGCAGTTACTAAGACTTAGCCAAAATTCTCAGTGGAGACATTTCAAGGCTGCAGTCCTTGACAGAGTTCCTAACACTTCCCATTTAACTGAATAGGAATTAACCGCATAGCTACATGCAGGATGGTAGCCAAAATAACCAAGGTAGCAATCTTAACTTGGAAATAAGCCCCATTGTAATCATTGGGACTGACCTCTGAGTAAATATGGTTAATTGTGGAGTGTAAATGGATAAAAATAGGATAATGGGATTGTGGTGTGTCCTAGATTTTGAAAGTTACCACACATTTGTTCTTCACTCTTCTTTCTTCATCGAATTACAGTTTTTCCCCCAGCACTTGTGTGTCCACATTATGTAACTAAAACCAAACTGGATAAGCTGCATGTTGTCAGCATTATAAACAGAGCCAGTTACAGAAAGGGAATTTAATACTAGCTTTTGGAAACACGGAAATTTACTGGTTAATCTGAAATTGCACACTTTTCAGTATTGGTAAGAGAAAATGTTTTCCCCCCCCAGCAGTCCATATATCTTTTAACTGAGCTACAGATCATTTAAGTTCTCAATTCCCTCTTAAAGTAAAATTACTTGTACTTTTGGTTCAGACGGAAAAAGCAATTCTAAAGTGAATTTCGAAGCATTTGCGTTTCTTCAGTTCTTACTTTAAAATATTCCAGTGAATCCATAGTAGCTAGCAGATCGTATAACTGATCTACTTTCTCTCAACATATCTTGATTACTAAAATATAGCTATGGCCTTATTGGGTGATGGTGGTGGTAGAAGGGAAGAGGGTTTTTTAATGGCTGTTTCCAGTTACTTTTCTCATTCCGCCACCCCCCCCACGACTCACTTCCATTGTCATGAGCATGCAAACATATTTTCATAGACTAAGAGAAATACTTTGTAGTTTCTTCTGACCTTTTGTCTTTCAAATACAAATCGAGGGAAATATCCCCTATTACCACTTTAGTAAGACTTTTACCAAAATGAAGCTATGGATTAGGCATTAAGATTAATTTTGAGGAAGGTAGAGTACATCAATTGTGTGCACCAAAATAAATTGCTCTGAAGCAATAATTATTTTGGTGGCTTGATCGAGACAAGTCTTGTTTGTGTGTTAATAACTTGCTTGACAGAGACCCTTGCTGCACCAGACTTTTATGTGTAATAGATTGTCTGAATTGGGTGCTATAGTCCTGACTTCATCATTTCACTTCCTTGAGGGACAGGGAGCAGTTCTAAAGCCATATCTGGCAGAAGGTGAGTGAACCTTATTTTCAAAGAGAAGATATTTTTAAATAACTGAAACAAGAGCTTCAGCTGTAGGGTGGAATTACAATAGACCTATTCTCTCTTGGAGTTGTAAGGTGATAGGAATATGTGAAATGAAATGTTTGGGCTTTGCCCAAACGAGAGAGAGAGAGAGAATCGAAAAGGGCATTGGTATACTGGTGTTTAGTGACATCCCCAGCCACATTTCACTTTATCCAATACTTACTGATAAAGCCAGCCTACAAACTAGCCTCAGTTGACTTCTGTGGTAAGATTTACCTATGCAATCAGTAACAATGACATACAATCATTTTCCAAACCATCTCAGAGGGGTAGAACAAGAAGAGCTGCCTTTCTGGCCACAATCTGAAATGCTTACATCATGTTCTTCAGCCGAAGAGTACAATGTCATGGTCAGATCAAATAAACTTTACTTCGCCTAAGCTTTTAACATGCCGTAGACTGCCTTCATTTGCCAGGATGTGTAGTCATTAAAGAAACAAAACTTTGTAGGATTTGAGTCATGACACTTTTGCTTACTCTGTAACTGGTAGCTTGGAAGAAACCCAATGAGACCCAATGCTATAAATGACCAGAGAATCCCCTGCATAATGCCTCTCCTTGCCCACAATTTCTGTGCCACCAAAAATCTCAAGTCGTCTTTTTGTGAGGAGGAGAAGAAGAAGAAGAAGAACTTGCATTATTCATACTTCCAGACCATTAAAAACTGTTCATGGCCTTGGGCCTAAGTGAATCCAGGGCAACTTTATTTTGTGTAGTAAATATGAACTGAATTTAAGGGCCTTACCGTTTTGTAGTTTAAACTGGGTTCAGAGCTGCAACATCTGTTTTTTTCCCCGAAAAGGCAAAGATCTGTCTACAAAACGAACGAATCATGCAACACTGGGTGAGAATGAGACGAGCACTGATTAGGAAACGTAGCTGCTGCTGAAGCTGCGTTTCTAACTAGAAAAGGACTTTGAATATAAATTTTAAGCCATAATAGTTTCTTGCTGTGGGAAGGGAATGAAAAATCACTTTAAGAGATTATATTAATATGAATTATCACAGTTTTAACTTTGCCTGTGCTTTGGCATTTTTAAAATATTCATTGCATTTGAAAAAAAAGGGGTTAGGTCTTGGCTATATTTACTAGTTTTGTAGTAGTGTTTTTGCTGATGTGACTCCCCCCCCCCCACACACCCTTTTTCTACTGTCAGTCTGATTTCTAACTTTTTTGAATGTTTGTGAAATAGCTGTCTTTCTGCTTAGGGGGTTGTGTGTCCTCTGCTCCTTTTTACAGAAACACACTACTGTGTCGAGTGTTTTGGCTGGGAAATGGGATGCTGCAGCTTTAAGAGCATTTTTTTCAATTTATAACAGTGTTTCCCATCCCATTTTTGCCTGCAGGCAGGGAAAGTGTATGTACAGTATTTATTTTGTTTCAATTTTACTTTAATATTTGTAAGTTTATATAAGTAGCTTATTGATTTCTTGTTTGGAAGGACAAGTGGCTTGTTTAAATTTGTATTTGACCATAGTTTCCACTTCCTGTACTTCAAAAATACTGAAATTAAAATCTGTATTGCTTATGTTTTTGATTTCAGCATTCAAGTGTTTAATTTCAGCACACTCGTACAGTGTAAATATTGGATGTGATACAGAATGTCTTGTGGGGAAAAAACCAAACTTAATTCCACTTCTATTTTTGATTTTATACCACTCTTGGTTTTTGAGCAAAGCTTGAGTTCAGAATGTACTCCCCGGATAGCAATACTAGCTTCACTTATTTCAAAATACTTTTATAGCTTTAGGTCCTCCCCCCCCCCCGTCAGTGCTTTCTGGTAACCATGCCAGCAGACTGGCACTATCAAATTTCACCTATAACCAGTTACCTTTCTTTGCAGCGCCTTCCCTAACATCACAGCTTCTAGATGATTTGGACTACAGTACTTTCCATCCCAGCCAGCATGGTTGATAGGAGCTGTAGTCCAACTGAAGGTCATCTGGTTGGGAAAAAGTGCCTTAGAACATAACAAACCTTGTTGGTTTCCTTAAGCATGTGAATCGGGCTTCTGACTAGAGGCTTGTCTGGTCTTTGACTTTAACACTATAGAATCATAATTTACAGCAGAATGCAAAGATGCGGCTACGTCCTTTTTTTCTTAAAAAGGGGGTTTGTTACGTACTCACTTCATTTAGGCGTATGAAGTAACATGACAAAACGATGCCTCCTAGAAAGGAACTTCTGCCAACTGATTAATTCTGGGAATCCAGCATCCACAGGGTTAACTGAATAGAGTTGTTTCCAATATAGGTTTTTAGGCAGAAAATAGTGTGGGGACAATGAGAAATTGTCTGGTGCTTCCTCGTGGTTGGCACACATTTCAACAAGAAACACAGTGCCAGTGTGTGTTGAGAGCACCCATAATTGGGGTATTTAAAGGATTAGGCTACTCACCCTATACCAAAGATTCAGGAGATATCCAAGGGCCTTACTGTTCTTCCTGTTTCACTAGGAAATCTCCCTAGGGTTTCTGTTGTCTGGGTTAGTACGCGGGCATGATTCTGGGTACATGAAGAAGTGGACCCTAGGAACTGAACTACTAGACAGTTTAAGCAACTATGTTTGATGGATTGTTGCACTGGAGCAGGACAGTTCCATGCAGCATTGGTCGCATACCTCTGTGCCATTTGTATCAGCAGAGATGGCTGCAACGAATATAAACCGGGCATCTTGCACTATGCCTGCCTATCACTTTGGAAGCTTAAGAGAGGAAATGTGTATTCTTGAGCGTAGGTGATTTGTCTCCAGTTTAAATCCTGAATAAATTAGTATGCTCCAGGAATAAAATAATTGGGAAACACACCATAGGCTCGTGTATTTTGTCACCAAAAACTGAGGATGAGAGGCAAGGATTAAGGGTGCACAAGTATTTTGTACACAATATATGACACAACCCTTACAGCTGGAAAACAGCACACAGTGAGAATGTTTTATATCCATTCCTAAAACAATTTACAATTATAATAACAAATTTAACACAACAAATATATAAATCATTACAATCCTGTAATCCAAAATACATATAAATTTTTGCTGCACCATATCTCTGTACTATTAATTTAGGAGCAGCCCAGATATGAAGCGCCTTTGTCTAATAAAAAAAGAAGGTTCCTATCAATGCAGGGTGTAATTTGTGCTTTAGGCTGCAATCCTAACCACGTTTACTCAGAAGTAAGTTCCATTAAGTACAATTTGACTCACAGGTACATGGTCTTAGAATTGCAGCCTATTATTTTAGTTCTCTGTATGCTAGAAAAGCATTCCACATTAGAAGGAATTATTCAGGAGGAGGAGCTTCCCTTTCTGGTGAAATTGCAAGTATTTGGGACTAGGTGGTGATGTTTATTTGTGTGTTTTTTAGTTTCACGTGCTGCAAGTGTTGAATTAGGCAGCTCCACCAAATGTCATTTTGGCCGCAGCTCTTTTACCGTAGATAAGTTACCACTTGAATTAACCCCTGCAAGGACTGTATTTTAAGTACAGTCCACTAATCTTAAAATGGCACCTTAACATCTCTACCAAGTGAAGTCACTTGTTCTTGAATATACTGTGTTTCCGTCATTCTCCTGGTAACCAGGGCTACCCTTAAATGAATAACCCATTATCTGTTCCACCCACCCCAGGAAAGTATCCACTGTATAAGGATTACCTTGAAAATCCGGTACTGTAATCCATTCTTAAGCAACTTTAATTTTGCTCTGTCTCTAGCAAGGTGAGATCATACTGAATTTTCCATTTTCACTGGTTTTCTACACGTAGATATGCAAGCTTCCTCAGCTGGGCACCAGCTTTTAATATACTATAAAGTCTGGTATCCACTCTGTTGGTGGTTCCCAAATTATTTTCTCCATGGATCACCTGAAAATGGCTGAGGGTCTTGGCAGACCGCTTATTTATTTTCCTGCCTGTTGTAGCTAGTGTAATGTACTGTGCTAGATGATGTGTGCTTTTCCATTGTTTTAACAGAACAACTGCAGACCACCTGAACAAAACTCACAGACCCTTGGTGGTCTGTGGACCACAGTTTAACAACCCGCGTACTAGATTTACCATTGGTCTGTTCCAATTTTTCTGCTCTAGTAGCCTATATACTGAGATTGAAATACTGGCCTAACATTCCAACCATGCAAAAGTCGGAGATTTCTTCACAAACTCACACCTCTATCCAGACAAGTAGGAGGCATGACCATAGTTCAAGGGCAAAAGCCCTCTGGGAGGATTCAGAGAGCAAGACTGATGAGAGATGTGGTCTAGAAAGAGTCTTAAGGCCTGACAGAGAGACTTGAGGCTTCCCACTCCTGATTTAAGCAGAACTGGGTTATGTTTTTTGCCCAAAACAAGACCACCCTTTAATTTTCTGATATCCAAATGCTTTGGCTAATCGTTGGTAAGGAAAGAATGGCTTGTCACAGTTTTCTCCCATGTTTAAAAGTGGACTTGGAGGTGTATCCCACACGGTTGGAGTGTGAGGAGCTCCCAAAGAACAGATTTGGAAGGTCCTAGGGATGCACATTCTTCAGTATGTTAGGACATCCTGGGGCACCACTTTCATCAGGATCTGCAATTTTACTGTGATGGAATCTAGACAAATGCAACAAGGAAATCAGAGGAAAAGTTTAGTTTGGGAGAGGCATCATTTGGTGTTCTTCAGTGAAAACAGAAAACTCTGGCTGCTTCACACATCAGATATATCGTGGTCCACATTGTGAACCTGCTATTCCCTATGAAGTGTGAGAGAAGCTATCTGGTTTCACTTCCTGTTTACATGCAATTAAAATTATTAGCATGCCTCTTGGTAGTTAACAGGGCAGAGCCATACACTATACAGATAGGTATATATACTTGCTAACATTTGTGAAGTAGTCTTGAGGAACGCCTTCCTGAAGATTTCTTCCCTACCAAGTTCATTTGAACTTCAAGTCTCTACCAAGTTCATTCGAACTAGAGATATTCTTAACTTTTCCTGTGGTTGAGCTCTAAGCAGTATTATACATGCATTGATTTAGGTTCTTCATGTCTTTACCAAAACTTCATAAGGTAAGTACAGTGCTTTTTGGGTCCTTATATGTGTGACAAGGGGAAGTCGTCAATCACAGCCAATGCGACAGGCCCAATTTACTGTGGAGAACCGTGCATTATCACAATTATTTATTAAATTTATATACCATCCTGCATCCAAAGATCTCAGGGTGTGTATTTTTGTGGTTTTTATACTGTAAACCACCCTGTGATCTTTGGATGAAGGGTGGTATAAAAATTCAATAAATAATAATAATCAGAGTACTAGCTTAATTTCAGGGAGAAGTTTCACATATGATTGTTTCCCGTCCTAAACTGAACATAGTTTCTGCTGCACAGATGTTGGCATTTGCAGATCTATAGTCTATAAAAGGACAGAGGGAGCTTCGTCCCCAACTCTTTGGAGATGCAGAACTCCTCTTGACAGCTTTTGATCCACAAACAGTGTCATGTGCCACGTGTGAAATTGGGCCTCATTTATGCTAATTTTGAAGCTTCCCTTTCACGGTTCTGAGCTACCATAGCTGATGCCATACTTACTGAACATGGATGTGATGCAGCCTGGGATCCTAGCCTTCTGCACCACCAGATAGTAGACGGGCAAGCCAGACAGAGTCACAGCACAGCCAATGCTGGTGTTCACAGGATCGGAATACAGGGATGTCCCCACGATGCAGAAAGAGGCTATTGTGAACACTAGTGGGAAAAACAAAGGCACCTAAAGGAAAAAGGGTCAAATCGGAAAATAAAGTTCTGCATGAAGCATAAATGCAAAAAAGAAACACGTTTTGAACATGGGGAAGAGTAGTATATTTAATCTGAGAGATGGAAAGGACCATAACTCATCCCTATAAAGGTAAAGGTACCCCTGCCCGTACGGGCCAGTCTTGACAGACTCTAGGGTTGTGCGCCCATCTCACTCAAGAGGCCGGGGGGCCAGCGCTGTCCGGAGACACTTCCGGGTCACGTGGCCAGCGTGACATCGCTGCTCTGGCGAGCCAGAGCCGCACACGGAAACGCCGTTTACCTTCCCGCTAGTAAGCGGTCCCTATTTATCTACTTGCACCCAGGAGTGCTTTCGAACTGCTAGGTTGGCAGGCGCTGGGACTGAACAACGGGAGCGCACTCCGCCGCGGGGATTCGAACCGCTGACCTTTCGATCGGCAAGCCCTAGGCGCTGAGGCTTTTACCCACAGTGCCACCCGCGTCCCTTAACTCATCCCTATACAAAGCACTTAAAAACAACAACAACAACAACAACGCTCTTAACAATGTCTCCATCCTCTAGTTTTAATAAAGTGCAGGAAAAGGAGCTGGTTTAGGGTTTCTTTATGGCTTCTTCCCAAATACTGGCATGTTATGGTGGCATTTTTCTCCCCTTCTCCTATTTTTGGCTTCTAATGGATCCGTGATTCCCTTTTGTTCTTGTTCAGTTAGTAGCCTGTGAGCAAGGTCACACTTTGCTTCTGCTTATGTAACACAATATTTACAGAATATGGCCACCTAGCAATGAAATTTCCCTAAGCAGCTTATGAAATAATGGCTTCAGACAGACTTCATTGTGACTTGCTTTCCTTAACCATGGTTAAGCATTACACTTGACCATATAAGAGGTGGTTAAAGATTAGCTGCAAATGGATATCAAAACATGGGCACCCCATCTTCATTAAGCAAATTGTGGTTAAGGCAGTTTCCTCATCTCTCTGCTTACAAGATGAAAATGGGTCCTGTATCGGGTAATCCTCCCTGGGGTCAAGGCTTAGTCTGGCAGATAAAACCATGGTTTCAGTATACATTTGAGATCTTACAGGGTGAGAGCAACAAACCACTTGAGCTTTATGTCTGACCTGGGCCAATATGTTTGGATTTTTGTGCTCTGGGATTCCCTTTTTTCCTTATGTGCCTTTGTCTTTCTTTAGCTAGGTGAAAGATAGAAGCACAGATTTACACATCCCTGTATCCACTATCTTTAGTCTTCTTACCTTAAAGGGTCTTGGCAGTTCTGGATGCCGATAACGATGTATCATGAGCCCCAGGGTGGCAAGTCCTATGAAGAACCAGCGTGAAAAGCTATAGAAGTTCAACAGCCCATAGAGGTCACCAATGGACACCATCAAGTAGATCAATGGCAACTGCAGATGGAGAAAAATGGCAGTGTTGGAAATATGTCAGTAGAATACAAAACCAGTTTTCCATGCTACTTTTAGGTTTTCCTTGTGACTAACTACTGTATAACACTTGTCCATTATTACTGAGCAGAATTATGGGAATGTTTTCAGTTGATGAGACCTGATGGTGGGCTTGGCCCTGAAACTCCCAACTAGTACAAAATTGCTGATGGGGGCAGATGGCCGGCAGCATGTAACATGTCTGTTGAAACATCTACACCAGCTGCCCACATGCTACCAGCCCAGGTTCAAGGGTCTTGTGTTAATATACAAAACCCTAAACCCCAGATAACTTAAGGCAGTGCTTTTCAAACTTGGCAGTGTTTCTTTAATTAGTTGAAACAAAAGCAACAACACAATAGCCCCCTTCTCCCACAAACACATTTAAAAGTATCAATCAGTCTTATGAAACAAAAAGATACAAATACAAAATACAAATAGACTAGGCTTGCCACATGTCAGGAAAATTCCTGACATGTCCTGGTTTTCTGGGCATAAAAATGGCGTTGGGGGGGATTTTGTCAGGGAAAGCCCTGTATGGCAATGGAATGGAAAAAGCAACTGAAATAGCTCAAAAAGCTCAAAATCAGTATTTTGGGGTCAGGCTGCCCCAAAAAAGCTCTTCAATTTTGGGTGGTTTCCTAAAAAAAAAAAAAACAACAACAACTCAACAACTTTGCAGGTATCAGGAATTTTACTTTCTGAAATATGGCAACCCTAAAATAGACACGGAACTCTTAAGAACAATATAAAACGACCCCAGCTAAACTCAGCTGTTCTTATCGAAAATATAGTGACAATTCATTTATCCATCTGTCTTCTTTCAGTAGCTAACAAGCATCCTTTAAGTACGACGCCAAGGATGCGACAAAGTGTTACCTGCCCAAAGATGGAGGCTAAAACCAGGGTCTTAATGTGGTGTGGCCAATTTGTTTCAAACATGGAAACAGAACATTCTACCTTTATGGATTTTGTGTACATGCAGTGCCTGACACTGCCTATCGTTTAAGAAACAGTCCTAATACATTTAGTTCTCCCCCTTTTCAAATTAAAACATCATCAGCCATCCAAGGGCAAAATCCCCCCCCCCAGGCCCATACACTGCATTTTATGTCCAACCGCACACTAAAGCAAACCTTGAAGCTCTTACCATTAGTATCAAGGCTGGAAGAGGAGTGTGTCTTTCAAGGTGTATCATTGAAAAAAGAGCTGGCCACTGTCCTTCCCGGGCAGCTGCAAACAGCATCCTGTGGAAGAAAACCAGTTGATCACACATTGAATTCCACTTCCTTTTTTTGCTATGCTTACTGGAGGTTTGTTAAACACTCCTTTCGTTAAAAGAAAACATTTCTTTCCCCCCCTTAGAAATCATAAAGTGTTAGGGATATCACATACTCTAGGAAAAGAGAACCCCACAACAGCAGCATTGCACCTGGTAAATTGGGAGAAGACTTCGTTTTTATTTATATTCCTCTCACTGAAATGTAAGCAATCTTAAACAACTCCTAACCCACAATAATACTACAACCAGACTTAATACTACATAATAATAATACTACAACCAGACTTAACACGGACACTGGCACCAGAGCCTGCAATAAACCCAGATGCCAACTTTGCTGCCACATACACCTGGACAACACCATTACTGGCCCCAACAACATCACACATACCATCTCGGGACTATTTAATTGCTCATCGTCTAACATTGTGTATGCCATCAAATGCCAACAGTGTCCTTCAGCTCTCTATATTGGACAAACAGGCCAAACCTTACACCAAAGAATAAACGGACATAAATCTGACATCAAGAATCACAAGACAGAGAAACCAGTAGGAGAACACTTCAATCTCCCAGGACATTCTATACAAGATCTCAAAGTAGCTGTTTTACTACAAAGGAATTTCAGAAATAGACTGGAAAGAGAAGCTGCTGAATTGCAACTCATTACCAAACTTAAAACCATGGAGAGACCTGGTCTGAACAAAGACATTGGATTCTTATCTCATTATACATGACAAAGCCATTTTTCACCTTCTCACCCCTTGCTTTTTCCTGTAAGACCTATTGCAGTCGTTAAGAGTCGTCAACAGGCTCATCACAGCTATCTGCCAATCACCCATTCCCACCACCCTTCTGAGTAATACCCCTCCCCACCTTCTCACTATATAGAAGGATCTGGCAACTTCTGTTTCAGTGTATCTGAAGAAGTGTGCATGCACACGAAAGCTCATACCAAGAACTAACTTAGTTGGTCTTTAAGGTGCTACTGGAAGGAATTTTTTTGTTTTGACTATGGCAGACCAACACGGCTACCTATCTGTAACTGAAATGTAAGCGTTATTCAGAGTTGTTCTCTAGCTTCCACCACTCGCTGTCCACTGACTGGCTTTTTAAGAAAAGTTCTTTGTGAAATATCAGCTCACAAAAAATGGCTGTCGTTATTGAAGTGAATTGTGCTGAGTTCAATATGTCAAGTCGGGGAGCAAATGCTCTTTAAACTATACCAATGCACTTGACTTTTCCCCCTTTCTATATAGGCATTATCCCTAAGGTGTGCGGAAAAATATTTTTCTTATAGCCTAGGTTTCTGCTGTGTTTCTTTAGCCACAACTGCCCAGCATTTGGAAATTATTTCTACATAGGTTTGTGAAATGGGGATAAGAACTGGAATTTCTGTACAAAAGGCAGATTTGGGGGGGGGAATGGCTGCTTTCTGTATTATCCCCTAAAGTAGCATTTTGGTAGAAGGGAGACAATGACAAGATAACGAACTGTGAACAGTTTCTTGTAATAAGGAGATTTGCTTTGAAATGGGCAGGCCCTTACCTTGAAGCAGCAAAGATTCCTCCGTTCAAAGCACCAAAACACGAGAGAGCTACAAGTACTGGAATCACAGAGGAAATGCTCTTGAAAGCTTTATCAGCAAAACTCTGGAAGAAAACCAAGACAGCCTTATCAGTAAGGGCAACCAACAGTAGCATAGGGTACCATTCTTTGAGTTCTGTAGAACTTTCCATTATGTCATACAGTAAACGAAGGCAGTGTAGTAGTGTTTAGAGTGTCTGACTAGGACCTGGGAAACTATGGTTCAAATTCCCAGCGAGCCATGTGAGCCAGTCGCTGCCTCTCACCCTAATCTACCTCACAGGGTTGTTGTGGGGTTTAAACAAGGAGCTGGAGAACAATCTAGGTCACTTGAGCTTCTGGGAGGAAAAGGAGGGATACTGGCTGGCAATATCAACCCTGCTGTGTGGGAATCCCTTGCAGACAACTGCAGTGCCTGGAGACAGACAGGTTGTGTATCCACAGCGGTGACCAGAGGTGGAATGACCACTGGAAGGAGCACAGAGAGAACACACATCATGGTGCATCTGCAGCAGCACATCTGGATGCCTTCACCTGCCCCTGCTGCAACAAAACATGTCTCTCCCATATCAGTCTCTGCAGCCGCAGACGGCGCTTTAACTCTGCAACAGTTTGACACTCCCAAAGGTACACTCCTCCATTGTCTCGGGAGACAGACAGATGTCAACAACAACTGCAAATAAACAAAAAAGCAAAAACTGGGCCAGCCCAGGGTGGGAGAGAGAAATATATATTTGGCCTCAAGTGACAAAAGTTGTTCTTGGAGAGCCAGGCACTCATTGGATTGAGTACATAACTTCTGTCCAACAGGAAGCTAGTTGTGCATGTCACAAGACAGTGCAAAACATTTGAAAGCTGCCACAGCCCTGCTGCCAGCAGAGACCACCTGTGAAATAAGTCAAAACTAAAAGAGGTCAGCACATCAGCCGAAAAGGCCTATCCAAATTTGTGTTCAGACAGTTGAAAGCCAATACATAAATTGCTGCTTAATGCTGAATGAAGGTATATTGATCTGGAGAGAACAAAAAATCTAGGAGTACTCTGTATTCTGTCTGGAGTTGCTCATTTATAGGTGCACAATTTAAAGATTCTTCCTCAAACAAATGTTGTTTAGAAAAGTATGTATGTTTCCTCTTCGCTGCCCATGGAAACAGATGTCTGCCCTAGGAATTTACAATCTATTACTTAAATTTATGTCCAATAGGCCTTCTAGACCCTCTCCCTTCTCCTCTGCCCCCCTGGTAATATTGGTCTAAAAATACAGATAGCACGCAAGTTGCCACACTCACCACAGCTACTGCGTCAGAGTTGAGAATCTCGTGTGGTGTCAGGACTGCGTAGTAAGACACATTGGTAAGGATGTAACACACTGTAACCACGGCCAAGGACACTATTACAGCGAGTGGGATATTCCTGAAGAAGAGAAGCACGGTTCCTCTTATACACGGTTCCATTTTAGAGACAGATTTCCCTTGACCCTGTGGCCACCCACCTTGAATAACGTAGAAGGCATTTGCAAAAATAGGGAAATAAAAACAGTTGGGAATTTTATTTGGTCCACATTTCAAGGTGCCTTCTATCTTCCCACCCCACATTTCCTATCTTGTAAGCTAGCGCCAAATATGACAAGACCTGCCAAAGGTGTAGAGATGAAAACAGGGACACTTGAATAACTCTTCTCAAAGAACAGGCTACTTTTGGGAGCCTGATTACCTCCCTGACTGCCGTATTATATGCTGGATGGCTATGTGTTGCTTGCATTATATTTCTTTATGCATCTGTATGTATAAATATGTCTTTTTCAATATAGCGATAGCTTAGCCACTGTGATTCATGCACTGTGGGTCACTCTGTCCTTGAGGTTAGTTTGGAAGATGCAGGGAATGTCTCATTACTTAATAATAATAATAATAATAATAATAATAATAATAATAATAATATATCCTACTCTCTAATGAGAACCAACTTCATTCTTTCCCCATTCAAATGAGTAGGCATTCCCTTTCGTGTTTGTTCCCACCTCTGAGTTTATTATATATATTTTCAAAAACATTTTTTTTTACTACCTGGATTTCCCCAGCCACTCTGGGCGGTTTCCAGCACATATAGAAACATAATAAAGAAAACAACAAACCCTAAAAGAAGAATAGCAAACCCTAATAAGCCCCTCCCCCTCTTTTTATCCAAACTGCCTCATGTATTGAACTATTGAAGGAACTGCACTGACTGTTAACCAGCGAGCCACTTTTAAGGTGTTGCTAATGTATAAAGCCGGAGCAACTCAGGGCTGGCTGACCATTTCCCTCTGTACAGACTCAGGAGATCACTGAGATCTACTGCGGAGATTTTGCCGATACTGACACAACTTGTATTGTGGTCATCTGAAAGCTGGATGGAAGTGGGGATCTCACTGTCTGAGATTCAGAAGGTACCGAATGATGGATGCTTCTGATGTATACTGAAAACTCACCTGCTTACTAAGGCTTTCTCTGACCTTTAGCTTTAGCTGGATGGATGGGTGTTGTAGCTGACAGCTGTGCTACTGCTTCTTTTAATGGACAGCAACACTGGAAGCTGCCTTATACTGAGTCAGACTATTAGCTACACGGACTGGCAGCAACTTCCCAGGATTTCAGACAGGAGATTCCCCATTGGCACCTGGTTAGTTGCTGTGAGAACATGAGGCTGAACTAGATGGGGTTTTGGCCTAATTCAGCAAGATCTTCTCATGCCAATTTACTCAGTCTTTTTTTAACTCTTCCTGAGGTCAACTCTGAGGGGATTGTTATGTACTGAAGTTCTCACCCTGGGCCAGCAGGGAGATACTGTAGATAGTTATGCAAATAAGGGATTGAAAGTGACGTTCAGTGATTGGATAGTTTTAGAAAGTTGATACAGTTACGTTGTACTGGAGCTCTATATAAGCAGGCTGACTGAACCCTTCAGTTCAGTTCTGTCCTGGCCTGTGAATAAACAAGAGCTGTTTGAAGAATCGCTGTGTCGTCTGATATGTTCACCCACAACTTAACAGGGATTCTCCTCTTTGGGGCATTGCTGAAGAGACTCTGCCTCATAACATTTGCTCTGTTGGTCTGCTTCTTCCTCAGATGCTCTCAATTATTTTGGAAACACATGTTTCATACACCAGAAAAGAACGGAACCCATCCACCCCCCGTTTGCTCACCGTTTAGGATTTACAATTTCCTCTGTTACAAAGCTTATATAGAACCTGAAATAAGAAATCAAGAGTCACAAGGTCAACATATGTGTGTTTTTTTAAAAAAACCTCCCGCCCTCCGACCCCAGTAATAACGAATCCTGCTATATTAGCTTCATTTTGCGAAAGTATTCTCCTTTCCATGTATACATATATTGTATGTCTGTAATAAAAATAGATAAAAATGCACGCCAGACTTTTTGAAAACAGCTATGGAATCTTACAAAAGAGCATCAAAATTACCAAAGGGAATGAGCTGTGAAGCACGACCACCTCAGTAATTCACAAAAGAAATGAACAAAGGAAGATGACACTGTGAGTTATATCCCAACCCTACAACAGATATTTGGTGCAGACTAGATAGATAAATATTATCTGCAATCCAGGATTGTGCCAACTCTGGAGTAAAGTACAGATTTATTTATTTATTGCTTAATTTGCATTTTCTTTCTGACATTTGAGCAAACAGTAGAAAGCTCTGATAGAATTTCAAAGACTTACCAGCCTCCATAGGCAAACATCCCAGAGTAAAAAGCAAGAGGCAGCTTGTCAAGTGTCAGCGAAGTTGTGTTAAAGCTGTCCTGGAAATTTTCATAGCGGCCTGAAAAACAATGAGAACAGGTATATACATCAGCGGACACCATCCTGGGTCAGAAGCATTTTCCATTGTGCCCAGCCAGATAAGAGCATAAGGAGAACTGGCTGGATCAAGCCATGTATCATTGCTTCTGTTTCTGCAAAACATGCAGAAGTTCAACAGGTGCAGACTCCCCCAGCATGGAGCTGTAGTGGGGGAGAAACGGTACCCAAGGTATCTACAGATGTCGTGGATACATCTACTCTCCCTTAAGGCTTCAACTGGCTACTATGGGTGAACTGTTGGGAACCAAGACCTGGAACACACCCGGACATTGTTTGATTAGCACAGTAGAAGAACTTTGGCAGGTGCATGGATTCAAAAAATAAAATAAAATACACAGACAGCAGGAAAAATTTCTTTAAGGAGAGATTTAAAGGGTAAAGGGACCCCTGACCATTAGGTCCAGTCGCGGACGACTCCGGGATTGCGGTGCTCATCTTGCTTTACTGGCCGAGGGAGCCAGTGTACAGCTTCTGGGTCATGTGGCCAGCATGACTAAGCCACTTCTGGCGAACCAGAGCAGCGCACGGAAACGCCGTTTACCTTCCCTCCAGAGTGGTACCTATTTATCTACTTGCACTTTGATGTGCTTTCGAACTACTAGGTTGGCAGGAGCAGGGACCGAGCAACGGGAGCTCACCCCATTGTGGGGATTCGAACAGCCGACCTTCTGATCGGCAAGCCCTAGGCTCTGTGGTTTAACCCACAGCACCACCTGTGTCCCTTCTAAGGAGAGATTTACTAAGGCATAAATTGTGCAGTTTGTTGCTAGCTCCCTAGGAGGGCAAAGCTCAGCTCATTTAGAGCAAAACCAGTTTCAGCAGAAAAATTACACCACACGAATATAAAATGCAAAATGAATGTAAAGCACAGAAGTCATAAGATGACAATGAAGAAACTGCGCACTGAATGGCCTTGGAACTAATCTAAGACACACAGCATGAAAAACAACAGCTGTGCTTCAAGCACTTCAAAAAGTTGAAGACCCGCTGGAATGTTCTAGCAGAGAGGTTTTCAACCTTTTTGAGTCTACAGTTCCACTGACCAACTGCATTATTTCTGCGACACCCCCGTTGGGCTCGGGAGCCCAGTTACGTCACCTCTGCAGAGCTGGCAGCCTCTCACCCTTTTTCGAACACCCTCCTTGAGAGTCCTCTGGGCAGCCGCAGCTGCTGCCCCTAGTCTCTGAGCTGCCCACCCTGCCCCAAAGAGAGGTGCCTCCTCACACTGCCCCACAGGGGCTTAGAAAGCACCCTCTGGCCAGCCCCAGAGACACCATTTGCCTGGGGAGTTTGTGGTCAGAGCTGCTGCAACAAACATCTGTGCAAGCCTATGGGAGGCAGAGACAGGAGAGGGCCTCAGAGGAGGGAGGGAAGGAAAGAGGGACAGAGGCCAGTGTTGCCTGTGGCACCCCTGACCATCATTCAAGCCACCCCAGGGTGCCACAGCACACTGGTTGAAAATCACTGTTCTAGTGTATTCTAGCTTTTACTGGCAGTTTCTGCACGAATAAAACTTCACACCTTGACATGAACCGGGAGCCCCTTTTCAGCCTAAAGGTTACTTTCCCTTGTGGGGACTTTTCCAGGGGCCACAGGCCTGGGGTGCCTGGGGCCAGAGGCAAAAGGGAGTGGAGAGATGGATGTGATGCTCATTCTTCTACAGTATAAATCAGATGTGCAGGCACACAACTCACCAGTCAGGCCTGCGAGAGGCACCGTCTGAATGATGCACCCCAAGCAGCCAAGGGCAGGGGGCATGGCCTAGGGAATGCCCTAGGCAGGTGGGTTACCGCACCTGTCAAAGTTGGCTTGCAGAGATAAAACGATTCCCCACCCTTGGCCTAGGAAGAGTCCCAGGGGCTTGCTAGAGATGCCTGAAAGACCACATTTGCTCCACCACCTAGGTGTGAGATCCCTCACTTCTGTATCCTGGGGTGAGAAAGGGAGCAGAGTGCCTACTTTGTAGGCTGCATGTAGAGCTTGGCCCTCAGTAGAACCATGGATGCATAAAAGCTACCTGGGGCTCAAGTGGGATAGCTCAGTTGGTAGAGCATGAGACTCTTAATCTCAGGGTGGTGGGTTTGAGCCCCACATTGGGCAAAATTCCTGCCTTGCAGGGGGTTGAACTAGATGACCCTTGCGCTCCCTTCCAACTCTACAATACTATGAGTCTGGAAAAGTACCCCACACAGAAAAAAGGTAAAGAACCCCTGGATGGTTACATCCAGTCAAAGGAGACTATGGGGTTGCGATGCTCATCTCCCTTCTCAGGCTGAGGGAGCTGGCGTTTGCCCAAAGACAGTTTTCCAGTTCATGTGGCCAGCATGAATAAACCGCTTCTGGCGCAATGGGACACCGTGACGGAAACCAGAGTGCACGGAAACACCGTTTACCTTCCTGCCACAGTGGTACCTATTTATCTGCTTGCACTGGTGTGCTTTCGAACTGCTAGGTTGGCAGAAGCTGGGACAGAGCAATGGGAGCTCACCCAGTCGTGGGGATTCGAACCACCGAGCTTCTGATAGGCAAGCCCAAGAGGCTCAGTGGTTTAGACCACAGTGCCACCCGCGTCCCTACTCCACACAGAATTCTGTTATCAAACCTACTGTTGTCCCCTGGCAAGTCTCTCTGACCACCCCCATCTTTCCTATTTCTTTGCCACTGCCAGTTTCCGCCCCTTCTGATGCCCCTTTCTCATTTCACGCCACGTAGGGGGGTTCTGGCCAGTCTTACCATTTCCCAGAGCCATCATCCCAGGAACGATGATCAGACCAACCGTGACCATCTTGAGGGCTGTGAGGAATGTCTGTATGTTGGCAGACCAGCTCACACTCCAGCAGTTGAGGACTATGACTAGGGCTGGAAAGGAGGAGAGAGATGTGACGTGTAAATAGAAAAATGGAAAATGCATAAATATTTTTTAGAAAAAAGAAAGAAAGAAAAAGGAGAGAGAAATCACCATAACTGTACCAGGAATGGCTGCGACTGTGGTGCTTGTGCTTTTGGAACAGCTAGCGAGTGTTGACTTTTTGCTGACATTAAAAAAACAGAACCAGAAATGCTTCTGTGTCATCACAGCCCATGGAGATGGGAATACTGCTTCTCCAGCAAGCTTACTTACTAAAAGTGCTGATCATTAGAAAAAACCCCACAAGCTTGATGGGGCTTTCTGATAGGACTCCAGCATGACTGGCAGAAATGTCAATAAATCCCTGTTGCCGGATCTCTGCAGCAGGTGCCTTCTGTGCCAACTTTTAAATGCCTGCTGGAAACTCTTAAATTCTGCCAGACCTGTGCAGGCAATTAAGAATACAGCTTTCCACAATGTCTAATCAATGTCTGTTTTCAACAACAACACACACACACACACACACACACACACACAGAGAGAGAGAGAGAGAGAGAGAGAGAGTTTTTACTGTATGGTTTGGGGTATTTTTGTTTTAAACTGCTCTGATATTTTTAAAAATGAGACAGCAGCCTCTCAATATTTTAAAAAATAAATAAAGCAAAGCTGCACCTGCATTTCTGCTGGTCAAGTAGCTTAAAGGCCGAGGAGCCCTATAAGGAAGGAGTTTACAACTGTTTGCGTGAAGCTTTCAAACATGCAAGAGCACTGCTGTTTCTAAATATTGCCAGTGAGTGGTGTTTTGTTTTGTTTTTTAACTAGCTGGCTTTTAAATAGCTTTTAACTGTGGTTTTGAAAAGCCCTTTCCTTTGCCAACTGGCTGACAGCATCAAACAAAAAGAAAACCAGCTTCTGTTCATTTACAAACTGCCTTGGATCTATCTAGCAAACTTTTTAAAAGACACCAGGAAGAAATATCTCAGCATTTCATAGATGGCCTGTGAGAACTAAGGCTGCCATCCTAAGCCCACTTACCTGAGTTTAAGCCCCACTAAATTCGGTAGGAATAACTTCTGAGTAGACAAGGTTAGGATTGTGAATTGAGGAGAACTCATATGGTTATCATACGGCACTGGGAACCTCTTTTCTTAGTATAGGGCAGGAGTAGCAGATTTGGTGCCCTCCAAACATTCTGGATCCCGATTCCCAGCCACCCTAGTAAGAATGGCTAATGGGAATGGATGATGGGATCTGTAGTCCAACAACATATGGACTACTAAGAGTGAACTGAGATGCAGCTATTGGGAATGAAAGGCAGTTTCTCAATGAGGCTAAGTAAGAGATTAAAGTGGGGGCAGCCAGCTGATCTGGTGCCTTCTAGAAGTTTGATAGACTACAACTCCCATCATCCCTGAGTATTAGCCATGCTGGCAGGAGCTGATGGGAGTCCAGTGGCATCTGGAGGGCACTGTATTGGCTACTGCTGGGTTAAAGCAATCAAGGTTTCAATGTCTGATATTTTGTTGTGTTTTTTAATATTCTGTTGGAAGCAGCCCAGAGTGGCTGGGGCAACCAAGTGATGAGCAGGGTACAATCAATCAAATTATTATTATTATTGGTACTGGCCTCAGCAGCACAGTCTGATAAATGCCAATTGTGGTGATGCAAAAGTGGGGGTATTAAAAATATATCTCCTTATCAGTACAAACATTTAGAGAAGGGTTCTTCACTCATAATAAAAACAGGTATTATGAGCTATGAAGATTTGCTTTATTTGTGAACTTTCTCAGCATATTTATGATATTTTGCTGTGGAAATATCTGCAGATGTACAAGAGGCAGTGAGAAATGTATTAATATTTGGCAGGTACATTTAGGATTAACTTGCAACCTTAGATATTTAGTTCTCTTTGGTACTCACTGATTCCTGTGGTGGTGATCAGTTTCACAGCCAAAGGAGGGACATCACACGGGGCGAAGAAAGGCTCAATTAAGTACCGACCGAATGCCAAGGACACCACAGCCATATTTGCAGGTCTGGAAAATGAAACAAAGGCAAAAACATTTCTTTTATTTTGGTCTTTTCTCTGGCAACTTTGTCTCCCTCTCACCTATGTTTTCTGTCTGCTCCTGTTGATGTCTGCTCTTCTAAACAACCACAAATGAAGACATTCAGACACTCTTCCAAAGCATGGACTGAGGACTGGGAAAAACTTTCTGGCAAACTTTCTGACGTTAAGAGCTGTCTGATAGGAGAATGGACTACAGTGGTACCTCAGGATAAGAACTTAATTCATTCTGGAGGTCCATTCTTAACCTGAAACTGTACTTAACCTGAGGTATGACTTTATCTAATGGGGCTTCCTGCTGCCGCCGCACAATTTCTGTTCTCATCCTGAGGTAAAGTTCTTAACCTGAGGTACTATTTCTGGGTTAGCGGAGCCTGTAACCTGAAGCGTCTGTAACCTGAGGTACCACTGTACCTCAGAATGTGGTGGACTCTCCTTCATGGAAGGAGGTTGGATAGCCATCTATCAGGGAATGTTTCGCTGTGATTCCTTCATTGCAGGAGGTTGGACTAGATGACCATTGGTCCCTCTCCAACCCTACAATTTCAAGATCTGAATGAGAAGCTGTGAGACTCATTTTCTTTTCTTTTTTTAAAAAAAATGATATTTATTAAAAGTTTAAAGATTACCGAAAACAGAAAAAAGAAAGAAAAAAAACGCAAATTTTTTTTATACAAAACATACATTACAACTCATTTTAAAAAAGGGGGGGGGAGTACATAAAAACCAATACCACAATACAACAAAAAACACACATCCAATATTCCATATCTTTATCTTTCATTTGCTTGTTTCATCGACCTCCTCACACCTCCCTTTTTGTGTTCTAGCTTAATTAATTGTTTCAGCAAATTCTTTCCATCTTTCTCAATTTTTGTTGGGTCTAACCTAACCTATTAATTAACTCAGCAAGTCCTTTCCATCTTTCACTATATTCTGTCGTTCAATTTGCCTTGATTTATTTTAACCTTATCTTACCATAAAATACCTTAAAGCTTAAAACTTAATACTTATTTATACATAACTCCTTATATCATTTCTACTAAAGCCAAATAGTTTCATTCCAACATTTCCCCTGATATTTGTTAATTTTACACTAATTCCCAAAATAAATTTTTTTAACAACTTTCTTGAGATTCCTTTTCTGCCAAGTGCAAGGGCAGGCAATTACAGTCTTCCATTTCTAAACTGCAGGAAACAAAAAACTGCAATCTTATCCAAATCAGACAGGCCACAGGTTGCCCTCAAGCCGGGACCCCAGCCATGGTTAGGGATTCTGATTTCAGGGCAAACCATAGACCAAATCCATTTTCTTTCAATAGCCCACCACCATTTCATTTGAACCGTTGAACTAATGTTGCTTTGGAGACCAGGGGAGAGAATGGTGGCCCAACCACCAAAATAAGAACCCAGGCTTTTCCTCAATATGCCCCAGATGCCCCATGGTATTATGGGAAAAGCAAAAGGCTGGTGAGGCTGATGAAAGAATGCCCTGGTGCTGCTGCCTCCCATGTGGGGGGGGGGGGAGAGATACTTGTTGCCTTTGTTGATGGTGTGCTGCCCCCAATCATGATGGTGGATTTTGCACTGCTCTGAAAAGTGACAGGAAATGAAGCCCCCACTCCAAGTTGGGTTTCATTTCTCTGTTCTACATTTGGCCCATATTATTCATTGGGGAGCTTTCAGCTCGGTTCTTCATACAGTCCTGGGTAGACAGGGGAAATGCAGGGGATGGAAGCAAAAGGCCTTGAAATGTGGCGATCAGAGCCTCACCAACATCCCGATAGGATTACCGTATTTTCAAAGCCTTTTGATGGCCATTGGCCAGTCTTTTACAATATGCTCCATCAACTCCCCCTCTGGTGTGAGGTAGAATGATTTCCCCAGCTCCCAAACCCTGCTTTCTCCTCTAAATTCTGCAGCATTTGTGACAACACACGCAAAACAAACACAAAAGGGAACAAGCTTTGAACGGATGGGCCTGACCTTGATGGGGTGGTCGATGAGTGGTGTGTGTGTGTGTGTATTCTTGTATTTGCACTAAAATAGGGTAGTGGGCCCATGTGTTTGCATTGCTCTGTCCTGGTGCTGCAAGCGGTGAGATCCCTCTCCTTGGGGAAAGCAGCTCCCAGATGTTCTGTGGCAGACGGCTCTGTTTATCTAGTAGCTATCTGGTATTGGTGGAGGGGCAGATCATATATCAAACTGATTTCTATAGAACAAGACCTTTTGTTGTGGCTGCTGCAAAAAAGTACAGTGGTGGTGGTCTTCTTATTGGAAGAAAATATTCATCTATCTCATGTCGTGACTGAAAGAAAGGCTGTGTGTGTGTGTGTGTGTGTGTGTATGTGTGTGTGTGTGTGTTGTTTTTATTCCCCCATAGGGCTTTCTCTATTATTTCATTCATTCTCCCCCCCCCTCCATCTCTTTCTTAGATTCCTTTCCCTCTCCCCTCCCTCTCAACGTCTTTGCAGCCATTTGTTAGATCTCAGTGGTGCTGCATCCACCAGCTGGCTGCTTTTAAAAACACAGCTGGAACAGTGCCCCTGTTGAGAGATTTAAAGAGACACAAAACTCCCAGTAAAACCCTAGAGAACCTCCCCCTTCTCACACAACAATGGGAAGTTAAAGCTGCCCTTACCGGATCATAACAAATTCCGCCCATAATCTTAGAAAAGCAGGCAGTGGTCCAAGTGTCTCTAGCAGGTAAATGTAATGACCGCCGGACTTGGTGATGCATGTTCCAAGATCTGCATAGGACAGGGCTCCTAGAAAGAAAACATTAAAAATGTAAACCCTGTGTGCATTTCTTATCATCACCATCACCCTTATCTGATGAGTAATATCCCTAATTCTAAGTACATTGATATGGAATTCAGTTGCACTAAAATAAGTCGGACTGGTACCAATGGAAGGATATTTAGAACTGAGATGCATAATCATCATCATCATCAGTAGTAGTAGTAGTAGTGGTAATTTCCATTCTTTTGTCCGGTTCTCATTCAAAGGAGCTCCCACTTTTTATCTTCACAATAATCCTGGGAGGTAGGTTGGGTTGATAGATGATGAATGTCCCACTGTCACCCAGTGGGCTGCATGGCCAAATTGGGATTCAAATCTCCCCAGATGGCAGTGGAGGACTTCAGGGTCTCAAATTTCAGCAGCATCCTGGACAACACCAATATTGAGCACCCCCCACTTTTCTGTAGGGCCCCCCGAGGTTCTGCATGCAGTACGACTGAACCAGTCGCACTCCCCTAAATCTGCCTCTGCACATGGGCCTCTCTCCAATAAATTTCTAGCCCACTTTTCTGTTAAAAGGGGGAAAAAACCATGTTTCTTAGCAACATAAAAGCAATATAACGATTATAAAATATGACTAACCAACCCCCATAAAAATATAATGAGAACAAAAAGATTAATACGGAAAGGCAAACCCGGTAAAAGAGTTCTAGTGTGCAACTTTGATGTACTGTAGTTAGTTTGTGGCATTTCTGAATCCCTTCCCACAACATACAGTTCCAAACCAATTGCAAGAATAAAGTACAGTAGAAAATACATAAACATATTAAAAATATAATCAACGTAAACACATCCAATCTTTGGTGCTACCCAAATGCCCGGGAAAATCAACATCTTTGCTTGGTACCAAAATGTTGACAAAGTTCATTCATACCAGTCGGGCCTCCCATGGGAGAGAGTTGCATAGATGGGGAACTACTTCAGAAGAAGCTCGTTCCCTTCTTGTGACTCAAAGAAGAGCCTCAGATGATGATCTCTGGGTTCGGTTCCTATGCGGACAGGTGGTCCTTTAGAGGTCCCAAGCCATATAAAACCAGCACTTTGAAATGAACCCAGTACAAATTGGCAGCCTTTGTGGTCAGGCCAGATCCAGTGTTATATGTTCATGCCGTCTTGAGCCTGTTAACAATTGAGCTTCTGCATTTTGCACTAGTTGTAGTTTCTGAACCATCTTCAAAGGCAGCCCCACACACAACACATTGCAGTAGTCTAACCTGGAGGTTGCCAGAGCATTGACAACTGAAACCAGGCTATCCTCCACCCAGACATTTAATAGTAATAGAAGTAATAGCAATAGCAATAGCAATAATGCAATTTTCCAGTCAAGTAATGCGTACAAAAATACATATACTAAGTGTGCACAAAGATGGATATATTTGTGAAAATACCATACAAAAGTGCATTGTATTAGGGGAAATATACATAATAAAATATGCTTTGCCCAAAAAATATGTGCATTGCACAACATTGCATACAGAATTGTGTATATTAAGGAATAATTCACACTAAAATGTGGATGAAATTTCATGAGGACTATTTTAAAAAATAAATAAATCACAAACTGATGCGGAAATGTGGAGAACTGAATTTAATATTGGTGTGTGTGTGTGTGTGTGTGTGTGTGTGTATAATTCTCCCACTGTCCTCCACAGAAGCCCATTTTGAGGTTCCATTATCCCCATGAGGACACACCCTAAGTTGTTATACCGCAATTGCCACACGCTGGGGTGGGAGAGGAGGCTTTCCCCCTTTATGATTGTTAGAATTCCTGCTCCATGATTGCAGTCATGGGATTTTTGTCTATCACATGACGCTGTATGTGAAAAAGGAAATTAAACCACCAAGCAGCCAAACAACTCACCAAATAGTGATAGGATCCCACAAGCCAGCCACACCAGTAAGGAGACCCCCACGTTGCCTGAGTTTTGCAAGACTCCTTTGGGGGAAATGAAGATGCCGCTGCCCACCATGGTGCCCACCCCCAAGGCAATGACGCGGGTGAGGGTGATCTTCCTCCTGAGGAAAACGGCCTCCTTCACCTCTGCCGGTGCTTTGCTTCTCCTGCAAACTCCCATGCCTTCTTCAGTGTCCCCGCTGAACCACAGGAAGTCCCCGTATGAAGCACAACTTGAGTTCCTTTCCGGACCCCTGCGTTGCGGCTCAGTTCTCCTCTCAGTCAGTCTCTCGCTCTCTCTTTGCTTAGCAGGCAGAGTACAGTTTGTCTGGGAAGACTTTGGAATAACAGGAGCATGAAGTAAACAAATATTTAAACAAAAATATCAGGTGGGAGGGGAAATGTGGGCCTAAATCCCACGAAACGGAAGTCTGCTGCAGGGCTATGTCCACAGCTAGTGATACGTGGCGTGGTGCAAGTCCAATTCCCGGCTTTTCACACAAACAGTTTGTTTTTTATCAGGATGTGCTCCACTTGGTTTTACAGTATGTACAAGCTCCAGTCCTAACCATGGATATTGTCTCCATGTCTGGTGGATGACGTGAGCTTTTTAAGGAAGAAATGTCAACCAACGGTGGGCCCAATGGCCAAAAAGGTGGTCTCTGCATGTGCTGCAGAGGGAAGCGAGGGGCAGATGGGGCTTGTCAACCTTAGAAGGGAGCCCATCTAGGAGAAAGAAAACTGTGATCCTAAACCACCTCTGCCTTCCAGGATATCTTGGGGAGAAGGCTAAGGAGTAAGCCCTACACAAATCCAGAGCGGAGTCCCTAAGATGGTTGGATGGTGCCTTGTAGGCCTCCTTCTGGCAACTCCTGCAGCTAAGCTGGTGTCAAACACATTGCTCTGCTTTCCTTTGGACCACATCAGCAAGGCTGAGAGGGGGGTCTTTTCATCTGGGCAGCCCAGGACCTCCATACACACTGCCCAGGCTTGTGCCCCCAGGAAATCACTTCAGTGCTGCTAAAACTGTGGTTCGACTTCACCCCTCGAAGTACACTCCATTGTATCTTGAGGCAGATGGATGCCAACGATATACAAATACATGCCCTCTAACATTTCTCTGATGAAAATAGGGACATCCCATTCCATAATGGTAATTTTACTATTTATATTCCACACATCTTACTGGGTTGCCCCAGCCACTCTGGGCAGCTTCCAACACATATAAAAAGGTAAAGGGACCTCTGACCATTAGGTCCAGTCGTGACCAACTCTGGGGTTGCGGCGCTCATCTCACTTTATTGGCCGAGGGAGCCGGAGTACAGCTTCTGGGTCATGAGGCCAGCATGACTAAGCCGCTTCTGGCAAACCAGAGCAGTGCATGGAAACGCCATTTACCTTCCCGCCGGAGCAGTACCTATTTATCTACTTGTACTCTGACGTGCTTTTGAACTGCTAGGTTGGCAGAAGCAGGGACCGAGCAATGGGAGCTCACTCCGTCGCAGGGATTCGAACCGCCGACCTTCTGATCGGCAAGCCCAAGAGGCTCAGTGGTTTAACCCACAGCGCCACCCGCGTCCCTTTCCAACACATATAAAAACATAATAATACATTAAACATAAAAAAACAAAAAAAACTTCCCTATACAGGATTGCCTTCAGACAGCTCGGCAGTTGAATAACTCCATACCCTCCAACATTTCTCCAATGAAAATATGGACGTCCTAAGGAAAAGTGGGATCAAATCAGAAGCAGGGAGAAATTCTCTAAATGAGGGATGTCCCTGGAAACAAGGGACACTTGGAGAACCTGCAAATACATACCATACTTAAGTGATGCCTTCATGCATCTGATAAAAGTGGGCAGCTCTGACTCCTGAAAGTCAATGCCCAGTATATTTGTTAGTCTTTGTTGATTTTACGATGAAATTAACACAACGCCCTGCCTCCCGCCATGAGTTTGAACAGTCTGTAAAAAATTGTGGGAGGGTAGCAAGGTAACCCTACCTATTCAATGATTATTGCAGTGAGGACTGGCGGGGGGAGGCTCTGGAAAGGTGGGGAAGCAAATAGTGTTTTCTCCATATGTCGGAAAATATTATTCACCCCAAAGGAGTGGGATTTTGCAAGGCTGACCTGTCCTATTGTGCTAAGTGATGAAGAAAGGAAGGGGATGTTTATCGGCTGCCCTCCCGGAGATCATATTAGTTCCTGCGGCACGCAATGCGAGGACTTTCCTCTTAGCATGCGTAGCCGCTAATGGGGTTATTGGTCCTCAAGCAATTTAATCCTTTATTAAACCCAATTAGCATCAGTGGCCTCCTGTGGCAGAAAATTCCACCGTCTGCATATCATGCAGGTTTCATGCCTGCGCCGTGTGCTCCTCTACTTACATCCCTTCCCTTTTTGTTTGCTCTAAGGGCATCTGTCGGTGATGATAACAAACAAAAAGCAACAAGGAAGGCTCAAAGTCCAGAGGCTGAGAAGGAGTCCCAAAATAAATACAGAGAGGGAGAGGGGCCTGCTGGGAATATGGATGTCTAAGCCCATCAGAGAACTGGGACACAGTTACTCTAGTTGCCAAGAGAGTGTTTACTGTCCCAAAGTCGACTCCTGAAACATGGCAAAGGCAGACAAAATGTCTGTCTCATCCATTGCCTCAGTGATAAAATGCAGGCCTTATGCACAAAGCAAGACAATAAAACAAAAACACATCAAGTCTAATAGGGCCGCGTTCATAGACCTTTTAGATGACTGGAGTTAAATGGGCCGGCCCTATCATTAGGCAGAGTGAGATGGTCAGATCAAGTAGCTGGCTCAGGGTGACATGAAGAGACGGAAAGGCATTAGCTTTTCGATTTGGTGTTATCACATGGTGAAAATTAGTTGTACTCAGAGTGGACACACTGAAATGAATGAAGGTAAGCAACCACTCCTGTTCTTACTGCCAGAAATTCAGAGAGGTACTTGCAAAATGCTCTGATTCAGGCGCCAAAATAACACTATAATGATTGCTATATTATGAATTTTATACCAAGCAGAAAAAGACAGAATATCAAAACATTCCTGCATTGCAGGGAGTTGGACTTGATGACTGGGGTTCCTTCCAATTCCACGATTCTATGATAATAAAAAACCTCCTTGTTGCCTCCTATGCCAACCAGGTGAATGCAGCCAATTCAGAATACAGCCGTCTACAATTAACCACAGTGGCTAACTGATGTCTGTTTTTAACTTTATAATGGGTTTTATTGTATGGTTTTAAAGATTTATTGCTGTAAACCTCTTCGCTATGACACAGTGGTATGCAATTTTTAAAATATAAATAAATATACACAGATAATAGTTTGAAAGATAGACAAATAAACATGCAAAAGGTTCCAGAAAGGTGCATAAAAAGCTGTTAGGTGTATATACCCCAGCATGTGAGCATCATTGCTGATGTGAGGCAGTATGTACAGACACTTTGGGCATCATGCCTTTGGGTGTGGGTAATGCATTTGTTCTACCTCAGGCATGGAAAGGGCTGTAGCCTAGTGGCAGAGCATCTGCTTGGCATGCAGATGATCCCAGGTTCAATCCCCAGTATCTCCAGGTAGCCTGTCTGAAACTCTGGAAAAATACTGGCAGTCAGCATAGTAATACTGAGCCGGATGGACTCAGTAAAAGGCAGCCTCTTCTCTCCCTGTGTTGGGCCAGTATTAAAAAAGGAAAGAGAATTTCCGGATGCCAAGATCCAAATTTGGGGCAAGTACTGTTAGGTGACTGTTGTCTTTGTCCATGGAAGTGAGAGCTGGACCATAAAGAAGGCTGATCGCCGAAGAATTGATGCTTTTGAATGGAGGAGACTCTTGAGAGTCCCATGGACTGCAAGAAGATCAAACCTCTCCATTCTTAAGGAAATCAGCCCTGAGTGCTCACTGGAAGGACAGGTCCTGAAGCTGAGGCTCCAATACTTTGGCCACCTCATGAGAAGAGAAGACTCCCTGGAAAAGACCCGGATGTGAGGGTGATCTGGCTGTGACATCTGTCACCTTATTGATCTCCAGAGTTGATTCGGCTGATCTGGCTGGCTAGGCGGGTGTCCCCTTCCTCCCTCACTGCTCCATGTGCGTCCCTCCCGAAGTTGCGTGCTTGGTGGAAGAGGATGACCATCCCAGATAGAAGGAGTGTACCGTTCTTCGGTCAAGGGTATACGATAGCTGCACTCCCCTGCTAGAACCTCCAAACGAGAAGAGAAGACTCCCTGGAAAAGACCCTGATGTTGGGAAAGATGGAGGGCACAAGGAGAAGGGGACGACAGAGGACGAGATGGCTGGACAGTGTTCTCGAAGCTACCAGCATGAGTTTGACCAAACTGCGGGAGGCAGTGGAAGACAGGAGTACCTGGCGTGCTCTGGTCCATGGGGTCATGAAGAGTTGGACACGACTAAACAACAACAACACTCTTAGGTGAGAAAACCCCAGCAAAATGTTTAAAATCACAAGATATGTAGCAAAGCAAAGTGTGGAAATAAAAGCTGCTATACCTTTAAAAATGCCCTTCCAAGACCACATGTTTGTTAAGTTAAAAATGGTTACTTACAAACTCTCCAAAGGTCATATTCATGTGCTTTGCCATGCAGCATTCAGAAAAAGTTGCACAGGTAGTAAAACTTAACTTAGTTCCTAGATTATTGGTACAGGAGCTCAAGAGTTGCTAGCAGGAGCCATGCAGTTGAGCTGGAGCTTTTCAGGCAGATTGGAGGGAACTATGGCCTTGATTACCTATTTTCAGGTAGATTGGAGGGAAGTGACATAGCTAAGCCTGGCAGGATAGTTTACTCTATTGTATTAACCCCTTCATGCATGAATTAGACTGCTTTATCCCTTAATTACTTTCTTCCTTTACCTTCTGTCTTTGTATCAGATTTCTTAATATAACAAACAGTTGGGACCATGTGAATTAGATACAGAAACAAATCTGGTTAATCAAATAATGATTTTTTTTCAGGTGATGAAACGGGGAGAATATTGTTAAGAACATAAAAAGAGCACTGCTGGATCAGACCAACGGCCAGAATTTTGTTCCCACAGTGGTGAACCAGATGCCTATGGGAAGCCCACAAGAAGCAGATGAGGCTGTTGAGTATAATTTACTTAATTGACACTGAAATGAAAATGCATGTGTCTCGATGAAGGTTTAAAATGGAAAATGGCTAAATGTGTATTGCTAACACTGGGGGTTTTCCACAGTAGGTTTCTAAAGGACTCTGAGCTGTAACTAGTTAAT